GGAGAATATTCAGAAGTGGTTTACCATTTTCTTTCTTCTGGGGACATTCTGGATTTGTGCAACTTGCCCAAAGTGACACAGGCTGGCTCTTCTGAGATGCACAGTAGTGAATTGAACTCCCAACTTCTGGTCTGGCAGCCAGATACTTAACTCACTGGAGCTGTCTACCCGTTTTAGCAACAGTTTAATGTAAAAAGGGGTGGAGGAAACATGGTTGCCTACATTGCTATGCCTAATGCTTCAGTTCAGGGACTAGTGTATTATGTGCCATAGAGAGAACCAGTTCTATATATTTTCCATCTAATTCCACTTGTCACTCACACAGTGATAATTGGGATGATCATAGAATGAGGAGACGACTCTACTCACCCTATGATGGGCTGGCACTCCTGGTTTGCAGTGTACTATATATCATCTCAAATTGCAACTATTTATTTAAAATAGTTTTCCTGTCTTTCTCCAAGTCTTTTTAAAAGAAGCAATATAAAAAGCTAAAAAATATATAAATTATTATTTAATTAAACAAATCTATTAAAAATAATAGATTAAAGAGTACAGTGGTGCCCCGCTTGACAAGGATAATCCGTTCCAGGAAAATCGCTGTTAGGCGAAATCGTCTTCAAGCGAAAAAAACCCATTGGAATGCATTGAAAACCGGTCAATGAGTTCCAATGGGGAAATACCTATTCGTCCAGTGAAGATTGCCCATACAGAACCGCTGATCAGCTGTTTATAATTGCTGTCTTCCGAAGCAGGTGTCTGGAAAACAGCCATTTTGCAAAGGGAGGGAAGCCATTTTACGAAGGGAGGCCATTTTACGCAGCCCGAAAAAAAAGTCGTTTATTTATTTATTTATTTATTTATTTATTTATTTATTTAACTTATATGCCGCCCACACTACCCGAAGGTCTTTGGGCGGCTTACAACATTTAAAATACAATAAAAAGGCAAAATAAAAGGGCAAAATAATTAAAATGCAATTAAAAATATATGCTCTAAAAATTGCCATGAGACCCACAGCTGATATTATTTCAATTAAAAGCCTTCTGGAACAGGAAAGTTTTGACCTGGCGCCGACATGTCATCAGTGTCGGCGCCAGATGAATCTCAGTCGGGAGGGCATTCCATAGTCTGGGGGCAGCTGCCGAAAAGGCCCTTTCTCTACAAGCCCTCCCTCTTATCTCCTTAAGGGACGGCTCTTTCAAAAGGGCCCCCTGGTTAGATCTTAACTGCCGGGTTGGTTTGCGAAGCAGGCTCCTAATTGACGTCAAGCGAAAAAAAACCCATTGGAACCATCGTTTTGCGATTGCAAAAAACTCATTGTAAAGCGATTTCGATGTCATGCGGGGTAAGTGTCAAGCGGGGCACCACTGTACTAAAATACATTTAAAGCAACACATTTAAAAGCAGCAAAGGCACAAACAATCTCATTAAAAAAAACCTTCTCAGACAGTCAGTCAGTAAGGAAAAGCCTTCCTTCCTTTGCCTGCTTGTGGAAGGACAACAAAGATGGGCCTAATCTGGCTTCCTATGGGAGAGTTCCAGCTGCTAGTTTTGTCAGTTTGCAACCAAACCTCTTCAATATCAGGATGGTGACATGGCTTATTTGGCACCAAGGATCTTTTCCCAGAAAATCAAAAACTTGTCCCAAGTGTCTGAAGAAGATAAGGGGCTCCCTGAGCTTTCAGTGGAAGTAGTGGTTGACGCTCACGAATACCCCATAGCTATTGTGCTGGACCTTTGTTTCTGAAAACATAAGGTTTGTTTATGTATCTGGAAACAATTTTTGACACTCACTGTTTGGGTTGATAATTCAGTTTTCTTTCACTGTGCACTAAGAAATTACACAAGGAACATGCCAACCATTATCTACCATGTACTGACAATAGTTTCCCAGAGCCTCTTAATTACTCCACTTACTCCTCAGCTCTTAGCATTGATTTTAACTTTCTTTGTTGATACAATTCTATGCACTCTCACCGTGCTTTGAAAGGGTCTCTCAGATGCAGAATTTGTTCTGCCTTAAGGACTGGGGTGTGCACTAATTTAATCTGAATTTTCCTGACATCACAAGTTTGTTGTCAGAGACAAAACAGATGCTTCCTTTGTTGGAAGGCTGTGCTTGGATCTTTGATTTCTTAAAACTTGCCTGCCTCCATTGGTAAACCGTCCCATATAGCAGAAACTTGAAAGACATGGACCATGAAGACTTCTAACCTATGGCTGCAGTTCTTCATGAATTCATTTGAGCAATTGAAGAACACATTTTGCCCCCCACTGTAGGCGGTGTGATGCCTATGTTTTGATAATCTGAAATGTAATGGAGGAAGAAAGTGGGACCCATTCTCCATTTGGCATTTATGTGAAGAGCAGGGATGAGACCTCTGCCAAAAACTCAAGGCTAGCTATTGCACAGATAACCACATGAAGAACTATAATTACAGATATGCAACCTGCTTTATCCATGAAAGCTCACATTAAAAAAATATAAAAGTAAATCTTTAAGGTGCCACCATGTTTTTGTCTTTTTTTACTTGTTCTTTAATTTTAATTAATTTCAATTTCTGTTCTTACTTATCATGCTTGCACAGACTAACATGGCTACCCCTTTCCAAGCTAGTCCACTGGTCTATTAGTGGATTATTGAATAAAGATCCTATCCTGTAACCATCCAGAAACTCACATTTCTTTTATAGAGTGAAGAAACATATTTAGTACTTTGATATTATAAATGAAATCCTATGTCAATAAAGCTTTACTTTAAAAAAAGACAACAAAGTTTAGCAAGTTCTGATTTGCCAATGTAATAATGTAGCTAAATCTGGCAGCAAGGGATAATTTAAATTAGCTAGGAGAGATTAGAACTAAACAGACACCTCCAATAGTTTTTATTGGGGTTGTTTTATAAACTTAGTCTTAGAAATTCAAAGGATTTTATTAAACATTGTTTTTGTTACTCCTGTAGGATGGCAGATACCTGTCAAAATTCCTACATGTCTAAAGAACTGTTAAAAGTACATGAGCCTTACCCCCCCTGCCATCTTTGCATCTGCTAGTAAAACATGCTGGATGGTCTCCCTGTCAATAAATATAGGTATACTAATCACCATCATCATCATGGATCAGCAAGTCAATTCTGACTTATGGTGGCTAGATATAATTCCCTTTAAAGACTATTTTCCTCATAATTTCCTCTTTGTCCACCATTTGTGACATCATAATCTTGTTGTTCTTTTAAAATAACCATTTCCCCCCTCTTTTGGACCATTACTTATCGCTGAGGCACATCCAGTGCCCTATGATTTCAGTTTCTTGGATTTACTTATCCGATGGCAATACGGTAGTGACAGCTTCCATTTCATGAAAGTGTAAATCGTTGATGTCATTGTGCAGCTTGTTTTGGCTTAGAAAGGTTAAAGATGAATGATTCATACTTAAAACTGGCTCTCACTGAATGAACAGATTTCTTCAAAAAGGAAATTGAGAAAAGATCTGGAAGAAGGCAGATTTTATTCTAAAAATCTTTAAGGTTATCATGCAGTAGACCCTCGACTTAAGGAATTAATCCGTATTGGAACGGTGGCTGCAAGTTGAAAAGTCTATAGGTCGAGGCTCCATTGACCTACAATGCATTGAAAACTGATTAATCCGTAACCGGCCGTTTTTGTTCCATTTTGGGTTTTTTCTGGTCTGTAGGTCAATTCTCCGGCTGCAAGTTGAACCTAAATTTTGTGGCCAGAGAAGTCTGTAACTCGAAAAGTCTGTAAATGGAGCCGTCTGTAAGTCGAGGGTCCACTGTAATCCAATGTAATGCCAACTTTGTTTGGAGTCTTGAGTGCTTTACAAGTTTCTCTTCCAGACATCTGATTAAAAATATAGAAATCTTAAACTGGGGAGGTATGTTCCTGATATTTCTTACACTTTGACACTTTATCAACTAGTAGAAGATATTGCTCTTACTGTCATGGACATAGACATTAAAATGCAGGGCCTGTCTATAAATGACTCCAGATGGGAAAAGAAGATTGGATAGGCCAATAGTCTATAGGAACATAAGAAGAGCCCTGCTGGATCAGGCTGAGGGCCCAACTAGTCCAGCTTTCTGTATCTCACAGTGGCCCCCCTCTGAGAGTGAGACAACTAGATACCTGTCCCCTGATACCACTCCCCTACAGCTGGCATTTGGAGGTACCTTGCTTTAAAACCTGGAGATTAAACATCCCCATCATGGCTTGCAACCTGTGATGGACTTTTCCTCCAGAAATCTGTCCAATCCTCTTTAAAGGCATCTAGACCAGATGCCATCACCACATCCTGTAGCAAGGAGTTCCACAGACTAATAACGCGTAATACAAAATAGCTTCCCAGTGTTCTTAAATACCTGCATCTAATGTTTCTCCTTATCCATATGGGTACACTGACACCAAAATATCACTCTACTTTCTCAGTTATTGAGATTTCACCTCACTCATTATTTCACTAAACCAGCAATTACTTTTGTTACAGTTTTTCAGTTCTGGTCACTATGATTGGGTAGCACATAATCCTGCCTACCATTTTGCCATATGTACAACATTTTCACATTCATGATTTTGTTTTCCCTTACTGACCATTCAAAAAAATTCTAAATATTTCTTCTAACAACTCCAGCCTGGAGGCATCCTATACAAATTGCGCCCACTTGTATACCATGTCATGTCTTTCCTGAAAAATATTAGTGTCACCAAAGTTTTCTTCAATTCTTATATACGTGTTTTCATCTCATTAAGAATGAACGTCAACTTAATTAACATTGCATCTGGCTGCTAGGCAGAAATATTATAGTTCCGCTTATTCCAATCAGATTTCCTTCGTGGCCAAGTACGAATCTTTAATAGATATTAGTGAGATTAGGAACAGCAATTAATAGAATTATATAAACAAGTAGATCAACCAGGAATTAACTAGGAGCATATAAAATGCACCCTGAGCTTGCACTTGGCAACAAACTCAATGCAGAATCAGATTCCTGTGTGAAGAGCCAGCTGCCAAGAGGTTGGTCAGTCTTCAGCGCTGATAGGTGGGTAACTCATTGTCCCAGTTTCTTTGTATTTGTGTGAATGCAGAATAGGATCATTGCATATTTGTAAGCATTAATCATCTAAATTCTACATTAGAATTAGTAAGAATTCCTTCCCCATGACCAACCTCTCTGTTAGGAGAGGGCTTCAGCAAGTTTTTTCATCATGTTGTTCATGCTCTATGGTTGGGTTCATTTGCCAGAATTCAATCTGCCATTCTTAGCAGGAGTTACCGTTTCTGAAGTAATGGGTATACTAGAGCATGAGTATTATGTTTCACCAGGGATATGTTTTTTGCAAATGTATGAAGCTGAGAGGAATAGCTAGTCATGTTAGGTGTAAGTTAATTGTGTTAATGGTGAACGGTTCTGGTTGGCACATTTTGAGAAGTATATTGACAAACTGGAATATATCTAGAAGACAACCAAGATGGATAAGAGGTCTGCTAATTCTGTCTGTTGAAACAGATGAAAGAGCAAGAAATAGCAAAGGAGCACATTATGTTTATCAGGAAGGGAAGACACAATACTTAGCTAAAATATCTGGAGAGCTGTCATGCATCATTTGGCTATAGAAAATAGTCTAGGACTAGGACTAGAACTAGATGATGGAAATGAGTTGAAATCTGCTTCCTTGCAAACACCAGAATAAGATTCCTAACAATTAGAGTTATTTATACTGTAGTGGAACTGGTTGTAATGGGAGTTATTGGGTCCTCCTTGACTGGTGTCTTTTAAGTAGACACTGGACAGATATCTGTCTGTAAATAATACAACTTTTCATTGATTAGCAGGTTGGACTAAATGACCTTAAAGATCATGTCCAACTCTATAATTCATTGCTCCAATCAATGAATATGTTGGCTTCTCTGTTGAGTATAAAGAAAGCATTAAAATCCTGCTGCTGCTTCTTTGTTCCACCATTTAAGAAAGCCTATTATGATACAATAAGCATAACATAGAAAGCATTTTTGAGTAGCTGGAGTTTGGGAATCAGATGTGCTCTTTCATTACTACTGATTGCTATGTATGCAATTTCATACACATGAGATCAAGAACAGAATAGAAAGTAGTCCTGATAGCAGGACCTTATATCCAGCCTCTCTGCAGATGAAGGAGGGTATAAGATCAACATGTGTCAAAAGGAAAAAGGGGGAAAACACAGATGGGCTTCTCCTGGATTTCCCACAGAAAGATTTGTAGGACTGTAGAGATGGAAAAAATCCCAAGGATTATTTAATCCGATTCCTGACAATGCTGGAAATTTATCTTTAAATAACCCAATAGATGGTAATCAAAGCTCTATTTAAAAGTTTGTGGAGAAGGAAAGTCTATCATCTTCCAAAGTAATCCATTCTGCCATCAGAAACACTTGGGGGAGTAATTTGAACCCATTGTTTCAGGTCCTTTGGTTTGGAGCCGTGGAAAACAAGGTTGCCCCATCTCCCATGGAAGAGCCCTTAAAGTAGTGTCTTTTTTCAATTTAGCGTTGAGATGTGTGTCTTGGGATCTACTCTCTGGCCCACCAATGAGAAGAGGGATATTAGAGATCAGACTTTCTTCAGCTGTCTTTTCAATTCCTTCTGAATGTTTTTTTACGTTTCACATTGTTTTACGTGGGTGTTTTAATATTACTATGTTACAATGTTTTTAATTGTTTATTTTATTTTATTTTTAAATCCATTTGTTTTAACTATGTGTGAGACAGCTTGAGTCTTTTCAATGGGGACAAGTCAGCAGCAGAAAGAAGTGAGTGAATGAGGCAGAGCATTAAAACATCTGCTAAATAAAACATTTCAGTCTCAGCATAAAATGCTGTTGTATATGGCCTTATCATTGCTGTTTTTAAAAAAAGTGTGTGTGTGTGAAAGACACACATATTTCTTCATTTGCGATTTTAAAAATCTTTAGCTGTTGCTGAGAGTGAAGTGTGTGCATCTGTATGTAAACTGCAATTGCATTTTGGGACCTTGTTGTCTTTTGGAAGGCAGTGTGGCCTGATTTTTTTTTAGTGTGGCAAATAAAATATTTTAGTAGACAGATACAGTATGATCTGGAATCCAAATAGTGAACAGCTTGGAGACCGAAAGATTGCTGTTATGTAATTTGAGGAGTGAACCAGATTCCTTTCTTTTTCTTAATAAGTCACTTGCTTCCACATTCTGTATCTAAAAGAACTTTGCTTTGCTTTTGTATGCAGCATGACTCCTGCCCTTTTCATCCTTCTCCCCTTGGTCTTTGCCTTGACTTTGGGTCAGAGTATGTCTCTTTGCATCCCTGTTGAGTATGTCATCCACGTGGAAAAAAGAGAATGTGCCTACTGTCTGGCCATCAACACGACCATCTGCGAAGGATTCTGCATGACCCGGGTATATTCTTACAATGTGCTTTTTTGAGTCCTTTTTAATATCACTTCACCATCCTTTGCCTGGGATCCTTCTCTTTAGCGAATTATAATAGAAAGAAATATCATGAAAGTGACACAAGGGAGAATAATACAAAGTCATAGTCAGCAGGACGGTTTACTCCAAAGGGGACACTACAGCACCTAAGAAACTGAGCAGAGATATAATCATAACATAGATAGTCCCTTTTTGCACAGATGCACAAACTAAGTTATAGAAGATGCAGGAGGCTGAGTAGAAAAAAGCCAAGCCTATGAGAAATTATTTATGTGAACTTCAGAAAAAGTTTGAAAAAGGTATTAATAAAGAAACAGTGGATATATCTAAAGGAAGGAAAACTCCAATAATGAAATTACAGCAGAAGAGTGAAAGGAAGTAAGTTTGAGAAACTGTGAAATTTAAGAAGTAGCTCAAGTTTTGTAATATAAAGAAAACAGAGGATGATTAGACAAAAAAGGACATGAATGAAATGCTGCAACTGGACAGGACATAAGGCTTATATTGAATGTGAAAGGAACATGAAAGTTATGGAGATAAACATTATGTGAACAGTTGATAATTTTTTAGACAGTTGCAAGTGGTCTAGAAAATTTCATTACTGTTCCACCACAACAGTTATGTTAAGGACATTTTCTTGATCTTTTAAAAAATCAGTTTCCACTCTCAGTGTGCACTCCCAGTCTCTTTTATTCCCCCCCCATTAAATTGACTAGAATAGAGCTGAATCAATTTTTATTCAATTTTAATGAATTAGCACTACTCTATGGGATTATGTATGTTAAGGAGGTGATGGTGACTATACTACAAAATATAAAGATGTGACCGACCTGCCCCACACTATGGCTGGCTCTTACCCTTTAATTATATATACAGTAATTGTTAAGCAACTCATCCTGTATTAAGATTGATTTTGTGAGAGAAATAATATGTGAATTTTTCCAGTTTAGAATTGGGATCCTTTCCAGTTCTATGGTTCTGTAATTCTATGGATATCCCTAAGGGAGAGAAGTTCAGAGGAAGCCAGGTGTCTTTTCCTCCTTTGTCACTTTTGGGTTTCGGAAGTGATCGCCTGAGCACAGGCAGTGAATGGTTGAGAAATGGGCTCAAACTAGGAATCAGAAATAACAAACCCAACAACAGAGTAAGGAGAGATGAGGGTAAGAAGTAGATGAGCTGAGAAAAAAAGAATGCTGTAGAAAGTGAGCTGAGAAGCAATGAAGAGGGGAAAGTCAGAAACATAACAATGGATCAGATCTGAAAACAAGATAATGGTCAAGGGTTCCTTTTGGACCTATACCCGACTAAAAGGGAGGGTAGTGAGATAACAAGGTTCAGTGAAACAGATTATGCAGTGAAGAAAGAACACGAAATGCAGTTTTATTGAGATAAATTTTGAAAAAGTGAGTTGCTTCAACTATACAGTAGTTACCATGGATTTGTACGGTCCGAGGGTGCCAAGAGCGAGAGGAGAAATGATGAAGTAAAAGGAAGGACAGACTGTTCTCTGAACAGAGGGTTAAAGAAAAGTGTTCAAGGAGATGGAATAACCGTTGGCTTTCCCTTACAGGACAGTAATGGTAAGAAGCTGCTGCCCCGGAGTGCCTTGTCCCAGGAAGTGTGCACATACAAGGATATGATGTACAGGACCGTGGTGATCCCTGGCTGCCAGCATCACGCTGCCTCTTATTACTCTTACCCTGTGGCACTGAGCTGCAAGTGTGGGAAATGCAACACCGATTATAGTGACTGCATACAAGAGGCAAGCCGCACTGGTTATTGCAACACACCCCAGAAACTACATAATCCATGAGGTACTGGCAGTTCATCTTGCACATCGCATACATACATACATACATACATACATACATACATACATACATACATACATACATACATACATACATACATACATACATACATACATACATACATACATACATACATACATACATACATACATCCTTCTTGACACATAGCAAACTAGCTGCAGCCAAGAATAAATAGAATGGGTAGCACTCAGTTTTTCTTCTGTCACATTATTTTGAAATGAAAAAAAAAGGAAACAAAATTGGCTGCTGGACGCCCTCTCCCCTTTTTTACTTAGGATTCACAGACACAAGAAATAAGTTATACCAAAATATAGCAGTGTCACAGTCCTGCAAGTATGCCTACAACTATAGTATATGTTTTCAGAGAAGAGTGAAACACTAATACTAGTATAGTGTGAAATTTCTCAAACAATCTGCATTTCCCCCCAGATTCATTCTCCTTCCTAAGAGGTGAAGGAGCCAAGTAGAGAAATCTATCTTTTCTATTCTTGCCCGGCTAGCTTGAGGAAAGAGAACCAAGGACCAGTATTACTATGTTGGCCACTTTACATAGATATAGAATCAAATATTAAAAGTTGTAATACTTTTATTTGCTTTATTTATTTTGCAATATACAGAAGGATTGCATTATTATTCACTTATAAAACCTTAAAAAACTTAAAACAAAGGGTACATATAAAATTCAGCAATATATGATTGATTAGATATTTATCGAGAATTAATAATTTTTGACCAAAATCATGCAACATCAATTGTACATTCTCTCTCCTCCAACAAATCTTCCTCCGTACACATAGTAGGACATAATGAGCATTCATATCAATGTTGGATGGTTTGGTTTTCTCCACATTCATGTTTTTATCCCAGCAGATATCCCCATTTGTCTAAATTATCCTTGCTTAGAAACAGTCAACACCACATCAGATAGCAGTAACTATGGAAACCAAGACATCACATGACACTGAGAAGCTACTTGTATTATATTACGAGCATTTGTGGGCAAATATGTCACCAAGTGCAGCTTTTTGAAGATTCCTGCTGCAATAAATTACTCCATCTCAATATGGCACAAGCCTCTTATTTTGGAACAAGACATTTGCTGTTGCTGCACCAAGCATTAATTTGGAACAAAAACTAGTATGCCAATAAGCATTTACTGACCAGTTGTGCTGGTTTGTAAGCATTACGGTGTGGTCTTAAGCTTCTGGGAAATGTACAGTGGGTCCAAACCTCTGCAGCATAGCAGCTGACGTTGAACCAGTGTCTCATGAACAATGAGGGCCACAAGTGGGCTGATTTACATGGTGGTAAGCCCTCTTTCTATTGATACAGCCCATAATTATTGCAGATGATGTGATTGTCCCTTCAATTTGTTTCAGTAAATGGGAAAGTGATTGCTCTAAAATCACCACCCCTTCCATTCTAACTACTATAAACCAGTCAGGCTTGGGATGTGTTGAACATTCTGATGTGGGCTGCCTCCCTCCACTCCTCCTGACCAGAGAGGGTTGCTTTCCTAAGCTATCAGAACAATCCAACAAACTCTAGTATATTCAAACAGTCCCTCCAAGCTGAGCATAATGTCAAGGGTCTCCAGTGTTCTTACTTACTGGGATATTGAGAGGTTCTGTAAAATATACCTTTTTCACAGAACCTATTTCTGCCTTGTTCTTGAAAAATGTAGTGTGACTTTGCTATAACTGTGCCAGGAATTAGCTCAGGGGGTGGTGTTAATATCTTTCCAAACAGAAATGCTTATCTTTGTTGATCAGAACAGTTTCCCATGAGACATTCCTGTAGACACTCATGTTTTACAGACAAGAGCCATGTCACTAATTTGACTTGACTTTTCCATAGCTTTTTGAGTTAGCAAGTAAACAAAGTGAAAAAAAACTTCTTGTTGGCTTTAGTTTATTTCCTCTTGCTTACAGAATTTCACATGCTTGATCTCAGTCCTGGGAAATGTTCAAAAGCTTGAAGTTTTAACATGGGCTTGTTCAAGTTAGCAATGCTAATGCCAATGCACTTTCACAACAGAAGGGGATGGAAGCGTAAAAAGATTTAGCAGAGACTGAAGAAGCAGCCCCATCCTAAATTCAGTTCAATAACAAGATGCATAGCAGATAATACCTCAGAAAAGGCACAGGAAAGACACAACATACAGATGGTCATCATTATACTAGTCAAAACTTTTTTATTCTGCCAGGGATAACTCCCGAACTGCATATATGAATTACTGGTACATTTAGAGAGTGACATATAGTTTCTTAATAAAGGTCAAGCCCATACGCTTCTTGGATGACAGTCTCTCAGATGAGATTACTGGGTACAGAAATTCTCTAGTTCATTATGAACAATAAAAGTAATTTAGTTTCAGTAGAACAGCTTGCTAAACACCACACACACACAACTGCATAGCAGTATGGTTCAAGAATATACTGTATATTATTAATAATCAGACACATTCCTTAGCTTCCAACATAGGTCCTGCACACCATTTTTAAGAACCTTTGTGTAGGTAACTATCAAATAACTTTCTCTGTGCAAAATGCAAGTATGGTTACCGAATTTATGTTGCACACAATGTTTGAGTTCTCTTATGCTGTTTTCTATTTGAACAGTTACCACAGGAACCAATTTTTTTATTCTACGAAAAGTCATAAATACAGGTGTAGAAAAAGTCACACATCTTTGTTCCCCAATTTACTTTCAGTAAGTGAGATAACGGTACAAAAGATTGTACTTGAATGTCACTTTATTCTAGCTGAAAATACTGCAAGAGCAGTGGATCACCAGCATCTGAGAAACCCAAGTACAACTGCCAAATTTGTTTTCCAACGATTACAAAAGATTTGGCCCCACCAATATTTGGTTAGCACATCTTGTCTTGCTCCACTCAGAAATAAAATGAAACAAAATGAAATAAAATAAAATAAACTGAGCCACTGCCATTTCATTCTCAGAGGCTTCAGTCTCTCAATTTCCAAATCTAGAAGACACTTCTCTCTTTTACACTTACAAATATTTGTTCTACCACTCTAGTGTCACAACTTTTGAGTATGAAAGTCACAAAGAAGAACATATATGCCACCAATGGAAAACTGACTAGCCTAAGCACATAGTCTGGTAACAATGAAAGGGGCATAGTGGTCCTGGCTTTAGTTCAAGTTCTTCCAAGAAACAACAGTAAGTCAAATGAGCTGCCATTGTATTCTTGTATCTTGACTGGTGATTCTTGTAGATCTGTTTCAGGACGTCCGGTGAACGAGACGAAAATCTATGGGGAAAGTCTTCCGTACTGCCATAGTTCTATAAGAAATTCTCCAAGTCCAATAAAGTAAACACCTTGGGCTATGCCAAAGAGCGGTGCAACCACTAGTGCTCTGCAGCCAGCCCCCTTCAAAAAGGCGGAGGGACCCTCCTGTAACCAAACCTGCCTGAAAGAGAGGAAACCCCAGGAACTATTTAGTTACACAATTATTCAATGGATTACTTAAAATAATTTCACCACCACTGTGTCTATATCTCAAATATTAACACACAGATGTCTATGCTAGCCCTCGCTGAGAGCCTGCATAATTCCCTCCTGCAGCTATAATTCATTTCATTTAGTTAGGCCTTACAGTATGATTCTGATAAGTTCATAGTAAGTTTCAATGTTAATCTCTCCTATCTGGAAGCTCCTGAAAACAGTTTCTGCACAGCAGCATTCTAGACAGTGGGTGTAAACCAGAAACTACAAACCACGGTTCAGACTGGTTGATTTGGTGCATTCTACATGCTCTGACATAACTGCATGGTGACTTCACACATGTTGTGGGTTTAATAAATGAAAAGTGGCTTTCAGATTTCATACTATGTAATCGAAGTCTTTAACTCCTCATGATTTTACTATAATTCACAGCTATCTGCCACCTGTCTAGACAGATCTTTGCGGTGTGTGTATGTTTAAATGTCTTCACAAACAGCTTCCACATTTAATACACTGTGCAACAGTATGAAGTTCTGCTTATGGTTATGCTGAGCAGTTAAACAACACACAATACTCTGTAGGCTTTTTTTTTACCTTGCACAATCAGTGATTCCATTATAGTTCTCGTTTCTTCCCTTGCCCATTGACTGAAGTCGTGTCTTTATTACTGAAAAACAAAAGCATTAATTGAGAGTTCTGAAAATGAATGTAAACAAACCTCACAACATGGGTCTACAGCACACTGCAATTTCCTTCGTTCTTATGAATCATGGAGGCATCCAGGAAGAAATAAATTTCTTCACATAGAAAGCCCCAAACAAAAATTGTTTCAAAAATCCATTATGAATTCCTTTTCCCAGTTCCCTTGTGAGCACCGAAGGGCCGACATGAACTATTGTAAAATTGAATTTATGACCTCTTTTATTTCTCTTCTACCTCTCTCTCCAAAAGGGATTCAAGGTGGTAATGCACTGTTGCACACCTGGAAATTTGAAACAAACAGACGTTGCAATGTAGTAAACTGTCTTGTACTGGCCAAAATCCTATTGAGTATATTATGCCTGTGCAATGGTAATTATATCAATGGCAGAGGGAAATTGCTAGCAATTAAAGCGTTCCTGCTTCTATCCTAGTTTGCCTGACTAGCCCATAATGAGAAAAAAAAATGCAAGAACATTCTGGGGGAGTTTCAGGATTGAAGTAGGAACAATTTAATTACTGGCAATCTTCCCCTGCCCATGATGTCATCACACTTATGCAGGAGTAAGTCACTCAACAGATTTTGGCCATTGAGCCAGATCATCCAGCTGTATAATTCACACAAACCCTCAAAGGTCTTAGACAATATTCTTTCCTAGCTTTGCCTGGAAGGGTTCAGGGTTGAACCTGCATTCTTCTGCAATGCACAGCATGAGCTTTACCACTTAGTTACAGCTACTCAGCTTCACTAAAATGGAAGAGGGAAATAGATGGAAATAAAACTCTTCTTACCATCACAAGGACTGACAGACACAGCTGCCACTGAGCCAGCGATGCAACCAGCAAGAAAAGAACGAAAGAAAGAGGCTCTCTCCTCTGTGAAATCCTGTTCTGCTCTATTCAAATGGGCGAATAGCGGGAAGTAGATAATGGAGAAAGGAACATCCCTAGAAGACAATAATTATTCCACATTTAAAAGGTGACATGGAAAACTGCTCTGCAAGAGCTTTTTTTAAAGTCACCAAGAGGCCCAGGTCAAAATAAATGTCCACTTGAGACGCTTCCTCATCACCTCCTCACCACAACTTGTTTCGGTGTCATTTTTTCCCCTCAGGTGGGAAAAAAAGTACACATATAATACTTTTTTTAAAAAGCTATGCATCATATGTTACAATAACAAACAAACAAATTACACACAATGACAAACTGCATCCAAAATGTTTCTCTTCTTGTTTCCCTACTTTGTGTGTCAGCATATTCAGAGAAGAAATCATCCAAAGGTATAAGCACTGGGTGCTGTTATTGGGTCCGTCTTAAGGCCTAAGTCCCTTGGGAGATCCCAGCAGAGTATGATTTAAAAAAGGAGTCATACAGTGGCACCTCATAATTTTTAGGTGGTGTGTGTGTGACATCTTCCTGCTTGTCTAGCTTCAGGTGCTGCACTGCCATCCCATCCTCCCTCAGCTGCTGTTGTGCCTATTATACAGGTCATGCTAGATAGAGGTTTCCGGGACTTACAATCTCTGTCACTGGTTGTGCTGGCTAGGGAATTCTGGGAATTCCTCAAGCTCTAATTCTGGGACAACAGGGGAAAGAAGACCAACAGGTAAAGGGCTTCTTTCATGAACAATACTGCAGGCTTACTCCCATTTAAGTGTACATGGAAGAGCAACTTAAGCTCTCTGAGTCCTCCCAAATGAAGGGATGAAATATTTACAAATATGTAGGAAGGATTCCCTGTACCGCAAAGACCCTGTCCAAACCAATGCGGCCTACACGATCCAATGGTTCAAAGGATAGCTATAAAAATGCTGTAACTGATTCTCATCATATATTATAACTAATGCACAATTAATTGTTGAACACTTTTTAAATTGAATTTTTAAAATTTTAGCCATATAATAGGTTTTATGAGCTGGTCACCCAACTGTAGCAAATAAACTGAATAGAAAAGAGGCCTAGCCTCATCTGCTCCCGCTGTTTGGGATGTAATGTACTTCCATGGGGAGGGAGCCTTCAGAAGACATGACCAACTGCGTGGGATAGAAAGGGAAAGAGACAGAAGGGAGGAAGAAGAAAAAAGACAACCCTCCTCTATATTGTCATCTTCTCAAGACAAAGAATAGGCCCTGCCCACCTATTCTTTTCTTTGTCTCTTGCACACACTACCTGTTTCCCTGGAGGAAACTGCATGCCTCCCACCAAAGGCCAAACTCTCTCCAGAGCCACCTGTTTCTTCAAATAAATGCCTCCCAAATTTAATCTTCCTTAATTTAGGAAGTGTGCAAGCCACCAGCGATGCAACCAGCAAGAAAAGAACGAAAGAAAGAGGCTCTCTCCTCTGTGAAATCCTGTTCTGCTCTATTCAAATGGGCGAATAGCGGGAAGTAGATAATGGAGAAAGGAACATCCCTAGAAGACAATAATTATTCCACATTTAAAAGGTGACATGGAAAACTACCTGTTTCCCTGGAGGAAACTGCATGCCTCCCACCAAAGGCCAAACTCTCTCCAGAGCCACCTGTTTCTTCAAATAAATGCCTCCCAAATTTAATCTTCCTTAATTTAGGAAGTGTGCAAGCCACTCCCATGGGGGAGTGATAAATGTATTCTGGGTGTGAAGGCATTCAGGTTTGGACGAGTTAAGAAAGGGTGGTTGAAAGGGCACAGACATGATGGGGTGGAGTGGAAACAAGAGCTGGGGACTCAAGACACCACGTTTAGGAACCAATGCTCCAAAATATCAAAGAAATGAATAAAGTGCTTGAGTTTGGAGGACAAAGAAATGTATAGATCATTTGGGTAAGCTCTCATTAAAGCTTCTGCATCCCCTTCCAGTGTACCATAATTTTGCCAAGAATATCCCTGTCTTGGGTTCTTCAGGGGAAGGAAAAAAGATATACAAACATCATAATACAAAAAATATCCTGACTGATTGAGCTGAGGCTAGGTTGCTACTATTAGCACTACCTATGTCTGCAACAATTTTGCTCAGGTTGTCATGAAAATACAAGTCGAATAAATAAATAAATAAATAAATATTCTCCCGTTAGGTTTCTGAGCTCAGGTTTCTGAGCTTCTGAACAAGAGTTGGCAACAATGTAACAATTAGCAACACTATGCTAATTATTAATGCAATCCTCTCCATGTGTAAAACCAACATGTTGGACTCAGGGCAATTGTCCCCTGTGTCTTTCCCCTTTAACAGACTCTGTGCTCTGCAAATAAATAAGGAAGAAAGGTGCATTTTTTTTTTACCTCAGCAACGTAGCTCCAAGACCTTTGTAAAGCCCCCTAATGCCCTGGGTATGCAGAAGCTCAGCGGCTATCTTGGTGGCAGATACTCTCTCTGGAAAGGTCTGAGGCCCCACATTGTATGCTCTAGTTAGAACAGGGGTGACAGCTACAAGCTTGCATCCAGAAGGTGAACACACAATTTTGCTCTTCAGCTGTGGAGATGCTGAAATGAGTATAGAAAATACAATGCAATTAATATTCTAAAAATTCTGATGTCACTCTTTCTTATCCCTCAGTATATCATATATGCAAAAAAATCATACTACTACTTCAAGATAGGATTGCTGAAATTTCCTCCAACTAGCTTCTCATCATACGCTTACATTGTTCATGAAACATATAGCCTATGTTGACACCGTAGGTTACAACCACACAGACCAGGAGAGCAGGGCAATACTTCCTCTTACTTTCTACCAGTTGAAGGGATGAATTGAAGATGTGAGCACAAACATCTATGACCACAGACTTCCTTGTGATTAGGAAAAGTGTTGAATGAGGCTAGGAAACCTTTTGTTCACTGGATGAAATGTGTCAAACGAAGGGAGAAGCCAACAAATGGAGCACAAGCTCCCTTTTCTGGTTCTGTGTAACATACAGATAGCTGGGAATGGCCAAGGGAAAGGGGCATCTGAAGAGGACATTATTCTGATGCAAACAATTTCTACCCTCCATATCAGAAGCTGCTGTGTGGGCTGACATCTGATCTCTCACTGTGTTCTTCAACAGTGCTTCAAATTTGTGTATCTAACAAATTTGGGTATCTGACAAATACAAGTCTTCCACTCTTGTATCCTTTGCCCTTTAAAAATTTAGAAGTACTGAATACCAGAAATGTGTTATGGCCATGTTGCTGTTCCTTGCACAACAATTTAAACTCAGCCTACAATTCCTAAATTTGACATAAATAGGTATACAATGGATAACTTTCTAGCCCCTCTGTCCATACAATGATGATACAGGATACCAGAAACTTGACTTGCAGAGTTTTCTGTCTTAAGCAGATGTTGCTCAGATATTGTTTCTTTTCAAGCATGAAGTATGTGTGTCTTCTTCACTTGCTTCCTAACTGACCAAAGAGACCAAGCAATATGTACACTGGATAACAAGACTAATATGCCTCACACTCTGGTTAAAAGCCATCAATTTATTATTGACCCATCCCAAATCTAAGCCAAACTGAACATATTTTGGTTAGCTCATGATGTGCTAGGATTTATGAATGAGATTTACAGAGAAGCCTTGCTATGTACAAATACTTCAGAACCTGTTTTCAGAAACTAGTGTAAAATATGGACAAAGAAGGCAAGCATTCTTACCTAGCCTCCCTGCATCTTGCAGCTGGATTTTTAGCATCTCCATTGGTGTGGTGACAATAACCTGGCAAATCCCAGCACCGCAGCCTGCCATCATCTCCTTTGACAAAGACAGGGCAGTCCTGTAATTAAAAAGGCAGAATATTCATTGTACATATTAAATTGTCATTAAAAATTTGGTAACTTTTAATTTTTCTCAAATATTAGGAGCATACAGAATTAATATACACAGAGCAGAACCCTGCTGATTTTTTTATAATCAAACACTTCATTCATAAACTTCAGTTAGTAGCCATTAAGATTTTCATTTTTGCTTACTAATGCATTAAGAAACTCCAGGAAGATTCTAGTCATGGCTTCTAAATATTCTTACCCTATGAATTATTTAAATGAAAGTTGCAATTATTCAAAAATCTTTAGATTTGAAAGTTGCAGTCCTGGAGAAAAAAAACCTTAAAGAACTAGAATCCAAAGAGAGATACGTAAAATGAAATACATATCCATGCTGGATAGCAATCTCAAATTAAATCTTTAAATATTAGTCAAGGGTTTTTAGGTCATTACCAAATGGGAAATGCTACAATAGCTACAGTGGACCCTTGACTTACAGACGGCTCGACTTACAGACTTTTCGAGTTATAGACTTCTCTGGCTGCAAAATTTAGGTTCAACTTGCAGCCGGAGAATCGACATACAGACCAGAAATAAATCTAAAATGGAACAAAAATGGAACAAAAACGGCCGGTTACAGATTAATCGGATTTCAGTGCTTTGTAGGTCAATGGAGACTCGACCTACAGAATTTTCGACCTGCAGCCGCCGTTCCAATACGGATTTATTCCGCAAGTAGAGGGTCCACTGTATGTTGTTATCTGCTGTTATTTTCCACAGTCTAAGTTACTTTACTAACTAACCATTGTCACTTTTTACAGAACAAAGCTTCAAAGGAATAGAACGGACTATCATAAGCCATTACTAGGTGTGAAATACCACACTAACTCACACAATTTGCAACTTGCATCTACTGACTAAAAATTTTCACTTCATTTTGGGACCATATACACCTTTATTGTAAGCCACACAGAGTGGTCGACCAGACCAGATGGGCGGGATATAAATCAAACAAACAAACAAACAAGTGATTGGCATGTACAGTCAGTCACTCTGAGGAAGTGGACTTGATCCATGAAAAAGCTCACATTAAAACCCAGCAGTTAATCTTTAAGTTGCCCCAATGTTTCTTTCCTCTATTTTTTATGTTTTGTTTTGTTTCTTGTCTAATATGCATGCACAGACTAACACTGCTACCACTTCGAAGACTAAAATGAGTTAGCTCTAACTTCTCAAATAACATACCCTTCCTTGGTAAGAAGGTGCCTAAAATAGTCATTAGCTGCTAGTTTGATAGCCTTCTCCGGTGTTACAAGGGTAAGATTCACAGCTGCTCCTAAAAATAAACAAACGTATACTTAATTGAAACCAAGAGTATTCTTCATTTTAAAATATTATACAAATGGCTTAACCAGTCAGTGGAAGTTTAGCTTACAACAAATTTTAGTTTCTGATTAGAGGGAGGACATCATAATTATAAAACTGAAAAAAAATGCACAAAACATCACAGGTATTTATAGATATGTCAGATCATTTACTTTGACAAGGATTCTCACCATTAATTTTCAACTGACTATCAGTAGCCTATTAATTTCAAATAACCTATTATGAAACAACTGTGGAGCCATCACTTCTATAAAGAGAAATGGAATCTTCCACACACTTGGCCTAAGTACTGTGTTACTGATTTCAATAAGAATTAGGTAACTTTTAGATCAAGGCTAGAGAAACTCTTTCAGCAGGAGGGGCAAATGCAATGTCAACATTCTAAAAAAATCACATTCTTGCAATGGATAATGTGAAAGCATAGCAGCAAAATACAGTATCAGTATATTTTAGCATGAAGCTCTTACTTCCAGTAAGTCAGTCTTAGAATACGCATTTCAGTGTTTTAAAAGGGGGAAAACTGTACAAAAGTTGGGAAACCAAGAAATCTGGGAAACCACAAAAGGAAGGTACTATTAGTGGTTTATTAGATCAGATGGGCGGGATACAAATCAAATCAAATCAAATCAATCAATCAATAAATGGGGATTGGAAATGGCCCCCTAGAGAACCCCAGGTAGACTGAGGCCTTCAGAAGGGGCAGATTCAACCCCAGGACCTGAGGATTCCCATCCTCAGTTTTACACACTTCCAACATTATGTGCAAATCATTTATCCTCAAAATGATCTCACATGGCTAGTTGCTTTCTCTGAATAATTCTGACCTGATCACACGAATCTTTCCCACAGAATCAGCATTCTTGTTCACATAATGCAAAGGGATGGCAGTATATAAAGATTATATTTGAGCTGGAATCTCTATCTGAAGGACCGCTTCTGAAGGACACAAGAGAGGAACATTTCAGTGGCTGTTCCCAGGCTATGTAACTTATTTTAAAAGGAGGCAATGCTGGCCCCCATCCCTGCTGTTCTGCTAGCACACAAGATCTTCCCAGTTTGGCAAACTTTGGGCAAAAGAAAGATGCCTGAGGAAAAGACATTTAATCAGAGATGCTGTATTTTCTTCCTTTTCCTAGACATATTTTGGAATTGCTTGAATTCTGTGGTTATTTTAATATGTTGGCCAGAACTCTTTTTGTAGTGTGCAACATAAACCAAAAATTGCACAAATGTTGTGCACAATCTTGCTGGCTGCCCATTGTTGGTGTGGACATGCCTGGATTGCACCACTAGTTGCATACTCAGTTATGCACTTCAGTGCATGACAGGTAGCTGGGAAAATGCACATTCTGCCTTTAACATGTCTTGCAATAGGATTTTAGCCAATGACTGAAATCTTGTTGCACAGTTACACAGTTTAACATTTGAAAACAAACTGCAATAAATTAGGATATCTCCGTGGACCTTATCTGCTACAAATTAAGTCCCAAAATCCAGGATGCAACAAATAAGATTTGTGGAGATTTCTTAACTTATGGCAATTTGGCCCTAAAAGTTATGATATTTGTGCAACTGTCTAATGGGATTTCAATGAAAATGTTTATCAGAATTAATTTATTCTGTCTTTAGCTACATTTATTTTTTAAATATTTTGTAAGCTGCCTTGGGTTTCTATATTAGGGACAATGCAGCATATACGTAAAATAAAACAACTTTTCATGCTCTATGTTTCTAGTTGTGCCCCAGCACCCTTCAAAAAATGTCAAAAAGTTTGGAACAAATAGCCAATGGCTGAATTCAGTAACATAAAGTTATGCCACATAATCCACAGCTGTATTTTGCTAATTAAATGTTTTCTATGTCACTCTCCCCCTCACTCCCCCCCCAAGTTTCTAGGCTCCCTTAAGGTTCCTTTAATCACATGTAAGCCCTTGGGGGCTGCAGGACTGATATGTCAGTAAATCACAGCTAAAGTGTGCTGATTGTATACTGCCACATGGCACTTAAAGCATTCTCTGGGTGGTTTACGATTTTAATTATACTGGGTGGGTACTTGGAAGGATGGAAAAACTGAGTTGACTGTGAGCCTGGGATTGAACTCAGGTCATGTGCAAAGTATTGATTGCACAACTACCGTTTAACCACCGCACCACAAGGCACAGATCCCGCATGGCAGCTGGGACTGGTGGCAATTTTCAGACATCTAAGATTTCTTGTCCTTTGTTCCACCGCCCAAAATTTATTTATTTATTTATTTATTTATTTATTTATTTATTTATTTATTTTATTTATACCCCGCCTATCTAGTCATTTTGACCACTCTAGGCGGCAAAATGTTTCCCCAGGACCAAAGAGATCCTAAGAGAGCATAGGAGGGGTGTTGATAGGAAACATTTAACTACCAAAATATGGCCACAGCTGATGATGCCATCAGACTTATACAATGTAATCCATTACTGGATTTCAGGCATAGTATTCTGCTACCTCTGTTTAAAATATCTAAGCTTTGAATAGCACACTGTGCATATTTACTGAGCAAGTGCATTTGAAACTACAGATGAAATATCTGGTTCTGCCCTCTAATGACAGGAAAATAGGCATGGGATTTTCAGAATTCAAGAACTCCCAGACCCATAATTCAGAGGCAGGGGCAGCTTCCACAAAGCTCATCTCCTCAGGGATCTTTTTAGGTTGTAGGGAGCCTGTGTGACTCCCATGGGGCAGCAGGGTGCTTGTCTAATGGTTTGAAGAAGTGGCATGGGAACAGCATAGAGGTGAGGGGGCTGCTCTGTCTCCTGCTGGTTTGATGGCCTTCCAGTCCCTAAAATTCATCTGGGGGTGTTCTCGGTGAATTATAGGACTGGGAGTTATTGAATTCTGAAAATCCCATCCCTACAGGAAACATTCCAATGAACAATGCTATGAAATCATATTATTGGGTTTACTACAGGCAAGTATAAGACATGGAGGGGGAAGGGTTTACCTCTGTACATGCCGAAACAGCCTTCTGAACGTAGGGTTTTGACTAGACAATCCAACCTAATCAAGACATAAACAGCAAAGTTTATGAATTGTAGCATATAATCTTGTAAATTACCAGTTATTATTTTATCAGCTAATTATCTTTTCATTGCTACTGACTTTTTATAAATAGAAAATAAAATAAAACACTGATACATTATAACAAGTGAAGCATAGCATGTGGTTCACCATCATTATGAATGTTATCATTTCCAGTTCAAAAGTAAAACTTAAAACTGGTTTTAGAGAGATACAATATTCACCTGCCTTTTACCACCACGTGTTCAGAAATGTTTAGTTTATCATAGAGGCAATGTTACCTATCATATAGAATTTTCCCATTAGGGTGGAATTGCGATTTTCTACAGTGGTGCCTCGCTAGACAGTTACCCCACATGATAGTTTTTTCGCTAGACATTGACTTTTTGCGATTGCTATAGCGATTACGAAATAGTGATTCCTATGGGGGAATTTCGCTGGACAATGTTTAGTCCCTGCTTCGCAAACCAATTTTGGCTAGATGATGATTTTGACAGCTCTCTCCATGCTCGCAAAAAGGATGTTGTTGGGACCTAAGCTTCGCAAGACAGTGATTTAAACAGCTGATCGGCGGTTCGCAAAGCGGCTTTCCTATGACCGATCTTTGCTAGACAACGACGATTCTTCCCCATTGGAACACATTAAACAGGTTTCAATTCATTCCAATAGGGAAATGCTTTTCGGTAGACAACGATTTCGCTAAACAGTGATTTCAGTGGAATGGATTATCATCGTCTAGCGAGGCACCACTGTATTTTCCCAATACACACTTAAAGTGGGAAGTCATTCAAATACACACTTATGAAATCTTACACTTATGAAAATCTGGTTGAAATCCTATGGCACTGAAGGGACCAAAGGTGAAGAATAGAGATGGGCACTTACCATGGTTCGGTGGTTCAGTGGATCAGGCCCACAGGTGTTGCACGGGCACCTCGGCATCTACGCCCTGCCCCCTTCTGTGGGCACTCCGTCAGATGTAGTGGCACAGGCTTCCCTGCCCCACCTCCCCCTCTGAATGGGCACTCACAGGACAAGGCATGGTGCAGGATCTGGGGCACCTATGCAACACCAGTGGGACCAATCTGCTGAACCATGATTAGTGCCCATCTCTAGTGAAGACAAATGCAGAAAACACATTCCTTGGAAGCATACAAATTCTATAGAGGGCTTTTAGAGAATGTCTGGTTATACAACATTTACCAGCTTGGGTTATTCATTTCGAAAAACCACTTACATGTTTTTGTACACTTGCTGTCCACTCCTCTGATTCTGTAGCCTTGTTTTAACCAGGTCAATTGGAAATACACAGGTAACTCCAATGATCCCCGCAGCCCCTCCATTGATGAGTTTAGCAGGCAAACTGAACAGAAGAAAAATGTAACTCAACTGAAGGTAAACAAAGCAGAATTTCAAAACATTTTTGTATATCATTCAGGAAACCATCTTTGCACATTCCTTGAGTCTGGCCAGTTTTTGCTCCTTTCAGCACCACAGTTAATCTTTTAGAATAGCTTCATAGTATTATTTAATTTATTAATTAAAATATTTTAAACCATCCTTCGTTCTTATGGATAGAAATACACTGTGTGCCTGTTTATATGCCATCAAGCCACTTCCAGCTTACAGCAACCCTATGAATTAATGACCTCCAAAAGGTCCTATGCTTTACCAGCTTCCTCCATCTGCTGTGCATGACTGTGGACTGGGGCTTCCTCTATTGAGTCACTCTATTTCATGTTAGTTCTTCCTCTTGTCCAGAGAACTGGACAACTGTAATTAGATAGGTTAATGTTACAGTTATGTAATATATTGGCATCCTACAAGGACCTGCCAATTGACTGCATGGCAATGCATACCTTTATTGAGAGACTTCCATCTTCTGGTCATACTATATGAACAATGCTGACCTTACATATACAGCTCCCAGTCTTAGATACCTCTCTCATTTTGGTTCATTCATTCATCACATAGTAACTAGTTCCCTTTTGATTGTACTCTCTCTCTTTTTTGTGCAATTTCACCCTAAGAACTTGCAAGGACAGGGTTTTGAACTTTGCTATGAACTCCTCCATTCATTTCAAATCTAAAATAATATCCCATTTCAAAAATCTGGTATACTTAATCTACTGTCTCTTCTACTTCAAATCTGTCAGATTTGTACCATCTACAAAACCAGCTTTGAATCACCAGAAACTTGTATGTTAAAATACTGTCAGTGACCAGGTAATATTTCCAGCTTCTAAACTTTTACTTATCTCACTAAAACCTAATCTTTATTTTTTTAGCCTATGTTTTTAAAATTTGGCTTAAACATTAAATAAAAACATGCATTTTAATATACAGTGGTGCCCCGCATAGCGAGGTTAATCCGTTCCGGATTAACCCTCGCTATGCGGAATCGTCGCTAAACGGGTAGGGAAAACGTATTGAAACGCATTAAACTTAGTTTAATGCGTTCCAATACCTTGCTTACTTACCCGTTCAGCAAGGATTCCCCTTGCCGGCAGCCATTTTCGCGTGAAAACGGCTACCGGCAGCCATTTCCGGGCTTCCGGTGGCCTTTTTGGAGCCACCGAACAGCTGTTCGGCGGCTCCAAAATGGCCGCCGCAATACCCGATCTTTGCAATGCGGGTTTTCCCCATTGCGAAGATCGGGTATGTTTCCGTATAGCGATCCCGAAAAAGGGATCGCTATACGGAAACATCGCTATACGGTGCACTCGCTAAGCGAGGCACCACTGTATCTTACTTTACAGCATTTGTTGTCTAATTTTTTTTCATCATTTGCATTGATGCTCACTATACTTTCAATATCTTTGGCAGGATATTTATTCAAAATATTTTTACTCCGCCTTTCTCCTTGAAAAGGACCCAAGGCAGCTTGCATCATTAAAAGCCGGTATTTAAAGCTAACTATGGTGAGTATACAAGTACTAAAAAGCATTAAATTAATACCATGCTAAAAAAAAACCCATAAGCAATACATTCAGGGCAGTAAGGTACAACAATCTATTTTAAAACCCCATTCAGGCAACCAGTCACTCAGGGAAAGCTTGCCTGAACTGAAAGATATTTGCCTGCTTGTGGAAGGACAGTACAGACAGATCCAACTTGGCCTCCTGTGGGAGGGGGATCCAAAGTCTAGGAGCAGCAACAGATAAAGCCCTCTCCTGTGTACCCACCAAATGCACCTGTGAAGGTGAGCAGTACCGAGAGAAAGGCCTCTCCTGATGATCTGAACACTCAGGCAGGTGAGAGAAAGGCCTCTCCTGATGATCTGAATACTTAGGCAGGCTTATCAAGAGAGATATGGTCCTTGAGATAGCTTGAACCCAAGCCATTTAGGGCTTTGTAGGTTAGAACCAACACTATGAATTCTGCCCAGAAATGGACTGGAAGCCAGTGGAGCTGCTGTAACAGGAGGGTTACGTGATCCCTGTGACCAGCTCATTAGCAATCTGGCTACTGAGTTTTGGACCCACTGAGGTTTCCTGACACTTTCCATAAGGAGCCCCATGTAGAGTACATTGCAGTAATCCAGCTGGGATGTAACCTACCTAATCTGTTTCTCAGCCATCTTCTCTGGGATCACAAACGGAGAAGTGTTTCAGCCTCTTTTTGGTCAGGAAGTAAAAAGCTGCCGATGATAAGAAGTTGGTTCTTTGAAGAGAAAATTCTGTCTAATATCTGTGGAGTGAATTGAGGCTTTAAAATCCATCAGCTGTTCTATTAATAATCCAAAGTTATCTCATTGGCTGTCTGAATACTCAGACATTTCAAGCAGCTCACAACATCTCAAATTCAGTATGACCAATCAGAATACCCTCTGACCATAACTATTACACGAAGTTACATCATCTGTTTAAAAAAATACCCAGATGACTAATTTATACTGTAAGAAAGATGGTAGAATCTATTGCTTTTGATATAGAATGACTATGAGACTGCAAAATGTATATGAAAGATGGAACTTTTTAGTGAAATAAATAGAAGGAAAGCAGTATGTACAAGAGGAAGGACCCAGGATTTGCCTTTTGCAGGACACTGCTCTTGGACAGTGTCTTTGCACAGTTCTGGAGATCCCCTTTCCCCCACTCAGCAGTGTTTCCCGATCAGCATTCAACACTGTAATTTTACACCATCTTTTCTCCATACACACAAATGAAATAAGGGCTGCAGTTCTACACACATTAGGATTGCTACATCCCAATGAACATACTTTTGAGTAAATGTACTGTACAGTACTTAGAATCTTGTCATTCCAAGAAATTTCCATTCTTTCATTTCAGCAAACAAGTTGATGACATGTTAGATCACTGCACATAAAAAGGAAAAGAATGACTATAATATTGACTAATGCCATTAGGAACAGATGTTCTAGTCACATTTTTTTAATTCTCAATTTTAGAAAGTCACAGAAGATGTGGGCACAACATGACAAAATATGTCAGAGCAATGCAACAGTCACATGAGTTGCCAGGTCAATTATTGGGAATTTTCTGTGCTCATGATGAGACAGATACTCATGCAGATTAAAGTGACCCAGAAATTAAGACCACTACTTGGGGTAGAGTTTCCACTGCTAGCATCAGAGATGAGTGTACTGCGCAATGGATGAGATATTATTAGCTTAACATCTGAAGGCATATGAAGACTGCAAAACCTACGGGGAAATTTCAGCACTAGTATTAAAGTCTCCAGTTTCATAAGGTTTACTTAAATTTCTACAATTGCAAAGAGAGGAACAGCAAGACTGTAATCCTCTCCTGCAGCTGCCCAAAGAAAGTGTAACCATTGCAGCTGCTCTTGCCAATGGGAAAAAAATGAAATTTTATTTAGAGTTGGCGGGTTTACAGTTCCCCTTAAACAAGCAGCCCCAGTGGTGCAGGTCAAGGGGCGGAGGATGAAATAAGTTATTTATGAATTAACTTTTTTTAAAAATGAAGATTATAGCACTATGCCTTGTTTTAATTAAATAAAATCCAGATTTGCATATTTGAAATCTTAAAACCAACAAATCTTGAAGCTCTTTTCCAATGCCTAGAGAAGACAGAAAATGAAGTTCAGACTACAGTATTCACATTGCCTTCAAAGTGTACCTGTGCAATTGTGCTAGAGCTGGCTTTGAAGGGGATAACAGTGAGGCTGCAAAAACATCTGAGAGGTGGCTCATGAGTTGCTCATCCATGGTGCAGCTCAAAAATGAGGAGGGGGGAAAGATACAAAAATTCTGTATGCTCATATTTGCTGAGGAAACTATGTCACTAACAGCAGTGAACATCTAACAGAATTTGCAAAATATGGTGCCTATGAATCAGAATGCAAAATGTTCATTCTAATGGGTGGATGAATGAGTTGTCACTGTCAGTGCATGGGCAGTGTTCTAGTCTTATGTCTCCTGTGGAGCACAAGAAGTGAGAACATAAAAGGTAGGATTGGGGAACTGAATGCAAAGATTACAAAAAACTACTTATTGTGGATGGAACAAAAATGTCATGGTGAAGACTGCTATGCTTGCTTGTCATGATCACCAGGGAGAACTGATGAGAAACATAAGGATGGGATTTAACCTCAATGGAGTGCAAGGCATACTAAGGAGGTTCTTGAGACAGTTCCAAGATTCCGTTCCTGGCCTGTGCTAGTTGTACAACGGGGGGTGGGGGGTGGGGAATGCCACTAAACATTTTAAATGCACATAAACTTTTTTTTCTCCTGCTCAATGTTACAACTTGGCTTTGTGCTAGGACTACAACAGAAAAAGGCTTGGGCAAGGTTGCAGGCAATCAGCTGGTGCCAAGAAACTACTAACAATGAATCCACCCACCCACCCTGCCAGTGTTGCCAATACTGAACTACACCTACAGTCTCCTGCAACCTGCCCTCTGCAAAACTCTCTTTGATCATATAAGCATATATTTTGCACACCATCCTAAGAAAACTGCCCCTCTCTGTTATTTAAGTTTCAGACTTAGCAATACATTGTACATACTAAAAACACTCCCTGTCATTGAATCATATCATAGGTAACCTATACTTGCTGTGTTTCTACAACCTTATTTAGATATTGGTGTTGTCCAATTTTATGTGGTTTCTTCAAAACCCTTTAGGCTATATGCATTTCATTCCAGTACCTGAAAGTAAGTCTTATTGAGCCGAGTGTGGCTGGCTGCAGAGCATGCATGCACACAAATAGATTTTGATTGCAGAACTCTGCTTTAAAATTATTATTTTTAAAGGGATGATTGTTTATGGGTCTCGTGGGTATTCTCTGCATCTTTGTGGAAAGAGCTGAGCAAAAATAACAGAAATTGAGGAATAAAGACATCGGGAGAGAAAAAAAATAGCAATTTGCCTGCCTGGGAGCATATACCAGCTTGGAAACGATTTCTATAACACCAGTCCCAATCCCCAGGACTTTTTACGAATCGGGTTCCTTGGACTGACTGACGGCCAGCGGCTTTTAATTTCACACCGTGCGAGCGGCGGCAACGGCGCCACCTCGCCCGCTCTCCCTCCCTCCCCTCCCCTCCCTCGCCGCTCACTCACCCGGCCAGAGGGAGCCTCCAGGAAACACAAGAGGGAAAGTGTGCGAGCGGCCGGCCGTTTGCGCCTTTCTCCCGCCTCTGCCAAAGGCGCGTTGGGATTGGTCACGACTACGAGGGCTCACCCAATCCCAGGGAGGAACTCGTCCTTGCCCCTCGCGTGAATGTAGTCTTTTTAAGGCGGGGGGAAACGACCTTTGCAAGCCCCCCCTTCTAAACCTTGTTTCTGAGGCGCGTATAACGCAAGGCATTCATTATTCGGAGGAGAAGTGCATTACTCGTTACTCAGGGATGTAGCCGTCCAGATGTTGCTGGATTGCAACAACTGCCGCCCGGAGACTCTTCCAGAGTGCAGGCGGCATACAAGTCGAATGGATAAATAAATAAACAAATAAACAAACAAACAAACAAACAAACAAACTCCCATTAGTCAGGCTAACCGAATGTGAAGGATGGTGGGAGGTCACACGTGGCTTGTCCTCGTTTAAACCCTTCACCGGTTAATCCTAACATTGCCTAGGCACCTCACTTGGCTTCCTGAACCTGCCTGCACACTAACAGTTGTGTGACTTTCCTGTCATCTTCGGGCTGCTCTCACTTGCCTAGAGTGAACTCTCAGTTAAATCACAGGGTTCACGCAGGGGGCACGAGGTGAAACTTCGCGGCCTTTCAGGTGCTGTTGCTCCTGAGTTTAGGGACAATAATCACAGTCACAGCAAGAGAGGTTTTTTTTAAAAAATCCCCTCCTAGAGACATTGGGATAGAGATCTGGTGGTACTGCAGGTTAAACGGCATAAGCCTCTGTGCTGCAAGGTCAGAAGACCAGCAGTCGTAAAATCGAATCCACACGACGGAGTTCCCGTCGCTTGTCCCAGCAATTGGCAACCTAGCAGTTCGAAAGCATGTAAATGCGAGTAGATATATACCACCAGGGTCGGAAGGTAATGGCATTCCATCTCTAGTCATGTTGGCCACATGACCACGGAAACTGTCTAGGACAAATGCTGGCTCTATGGCTTGGAGATAGGGTTCAGCACCACCCTCTAGAGTTGGCCACGACTGGTCATTTGTCAAGGGGAACCTTTACCTTTACCTTTAGAGACATTGGAAAAATGGTTTTATTGCTGCAAGTGATCCTTGCTGAAGTAATATTCTCATTTGTCAATAATGCAGTTGCCTGCGTTTTTGGACTTTCCTTATGGTCCACCTACAGTATTCTGCACTTGCACTTCCAATGTATCAAGATGCAAGTACATTTAAGCAGGCACTGGTGTGTGTGTGTGTGGGGGGGTTAACTTCCCATCATTCTATGCCTTTTATTTTTCCTCTTCATCTAGTTAATGTACAAATACCACATGGCCATGCTTGACACTATCTTGAAAGTGCTTGCTTGATTTCCCAGTAGAATAGATGGTCTGGTGGATCACAGGAGAAAACGAGTGCAAGTAATTATTGTCAAAAGCTTGTTTTCTGTAACTAAGCCAAGCATAGAATTTATGAATTGCACATGAATTAACAGCAAAGAAGAGGGCCTCTGATCATAAATTTTTTTGAGTTCTTATAGCCACTTCTTGGCTCTTATATCCCTAAACCACTACTTCTCCAGATGTCCTTAGAGTCTGCCTTTCATCAATCCCAGACTCCAGGGCCAATGGTAATAGAAGACAGTTGCAGTCATAAACCAAGCAGACCACAGGTTCCATGCCTCATTCTCTGCAGAAAAGGGTTAATAATTCCAGGCAAAACTAAGCTGTATGACCCCTCCATTTAGAACTGGATGGCTGCTGTATTTAGCTGCTGGAAAGTTGTAGGACTCCCTAGCTAATACAAAGTGAAACTTAACAGGAACTTGGGTTGTAAGGGAGCCTACTTAGACTCTTTATATTGCTTGTAGCAGCATACATCCAGATGCCTCAGAGCAGAACAGCCTTCCTTCAGCATTATAGGATACTCACTTCCAAAGGGGGGCGGGGAAGACAGCTAGCATATGATATTCTATTCCTCTTGGAACTTCAGTTTTTCTTTTGCCCAGACACCTCCCTGTAGATATCCAAGCTTTTAATATGCAAAGGCAGATATTCAACATGGAAAGCTTTCAGTCATTGCCCATCTGCATAGACAAGATAAAGAGAATAATAGGGCATGCAACAGAACCTCTTTTTCACTGGGATAATGTAATCATTTTATTAGACCAAGATGCCTTATGAAATACCCTTTTAAAAATATATTTTACTGGCTTTCAACCTATTTGTTTTATTGCTGTTACTGGTGTCACCTTTTACAATGTAAGCCAATTTGACCCAAATACATAGAAATATGATAAATAACGTTAAGAAAAGCGGAGGGCAGCTTTTTTCCTCAAAAAAAATATGAAAAGGTGATTGCATGCATATTTTAACCATTCTTACTGGCTGCAGTTTTAAATGTTACTGCATCCTCTTGAATTCTCCTCAGGTGAACAGGAAAACATCCAAATATATATTCTTAGTTTACATTCTCCTTCACAATATCATTATTGGGATCAACTGAGATTATCATCTGCAATTTTATCACTCATGCACCAAGTTTCAATATAAGGGCACACCAAAAATTCATTTTGGTGATATCCACACTTTATGTAACTCTATTCTGGTGAAGAGTCCATCTATTTCCAAAACTGAATGCATTCCAGAAAATGCATACAGTTGTAAGGCAAAAGCCAGGTTTGAGCAGACATGGGGAAATACAGGTATTATTTTCATTAAGAGTTTAGTGGTATCTTAAAGTTTTTAATGTACCACTTGCTTTTGTGGACTGAAGCCCATTTCATCAGATCCATGCGGTCTTGTCTTAGCTGACAGATATTTATACATATGTTTGGGTAGGATGGGTGGAAATAGAAATGCAAGAAGTATAACAATGATAATTATCTTCACAGTGGTAAGGTGGAAATAGAAATGCAAGAAGTATAACAGTGATAATTATCTTCACAGTGGTGATTGTTGTTGTTATGTGCCATCAAGTTGTCTCCAACTCATGGCAGCTCCTGAATGAGCACTCTCCAAATTGTCCTATCCTCAGCTGCCCAGCTCAGCTCTTGCAGACTTGAGCCCATTGTCTCTTTTAGGAGCTCTCCAAATTGTCCTATCCTCAGCTGCCCGGCTCAGCTCTTGCAGACTCGAGCCCAGTCCACCTCATATTTGGTCTTCCTTTTTTCCTGCTGCCTTCTACCTTTCCCAATATTACTGTCTTTTCCAGGGAATACTGTGTTCTCATGATGTAACCCAAAATAGGATAGCTTCAGTTTCAACATTTTTGCCTCCAGAGATACAGGCTTGATTTGATCTAGGACACACTTGTTGGTCTCTCTGGCATTCCAGGGTATCCACAAAGTTCTCCTCGAACAGTTATCAGTTAATTACTAGTGGTATTTAAGAAATGGTAATTTCTGGACCATAAGGCTGACCGCCGAAGAATTGATGCATTTGAATTGTGGTGCTGGAGGAGACTTGAGAGTCCCCTGGACTGCAAGGAGAACAAACCTATCCATTCTGAAGGAAATCAACCCTGAGTGCTCACTGGAAGGACAGATCCTGAAGCTGAGTCTCCAATACTTTGGCCATCTCATGAGAAGAGAAGACTCCTTGGAAAAGACCTTGATGTTGGGGAAGTGTGAAGGCAAGAGGAGAAGGGGACAACAGAGGACGAGATGGTTGGACAGTGTCACTTAAGCTACCAACATGAATTTGACCAAACTCTGGGAGGCAGTGGAAGACAGGAGGGCCTGGCGTGCTCTGGTCCATGGGGTCACGAAGAGTTGGACACGACTTAACAACTAAATGTCAACAACAGTTTCACTTATAAAGCCCTTCATGGTTTGGGGAATCATTACTTGTCTGATTATCTCTTTCCAAGATCACCCACCCGTACCATCAGATCCTTCCAGGAAAATCATTAATGAGAAGCCAGGCCTTCTCGGCAGTGGCCCCAATCTTCTGGAATTGGCTCCTGGTCGAGCTGTGCCTGGCCTCCTCCCTCACCATTTTTATGAGGTTGCTGAAAACATTGCTTTTCTGAGAAGCCTTTGATCGCAACCTAATCTGAATTTTTATCCCTGTACCCTGCCTGCAGGCTACAGGAATCCAAGCCGCCCTTTGCAAAGATGGCAGCTGCAGCTTCCCTACCCTAAATGAAGCCACAGCCACCATCTTTGCAAAGGGCAGCCAGTTTTCCTTTCTACAGGCCGTGGCTGCAGAGGTCTGATGGAGACTGCAGCAGTGACGATTATGGTAAGGGAGTGTTGGTGGTGGGGGGGCTAAGGTAGGGGGAGGAAGGGGGGGGGACAGGCTGTGGGGGTGGGTGGGTGCCTATCGGCCTGCTGATTCTGTAGGATGAATAAAAGTGAGAAAATATTCATTAATCCACATTCGTTGGGACCTAAAATTTGACAAACATGGATCGACAAATATTTAACAAATCGGCTATTTTCGTTGGGAAAGCCGATCCATTTTTATATTTCCCCATCTCTAATAGAGACTGACTTGTTTGTCCCATGTAAAATATTGTAAGACACGACTTGCAAATAATGGCATATATTAAACTGAAATCTAAGCAGGTGTTTGAACTGTTGTGGTTATATATGGCATTATTAGGACCTGAAATTATATTCCCAAAGTAGAGCTGAGATTTGGATTTCCCGAGTTTCACTCCCCTTCCACTGCCCCCAAGCCATTCTGTTCTATTGCAAAACACTATGGATAGGATCTTGAGGAACTTAATATATGTAAATATGCATCTGGTAAAAAGAAACACTGCACTATACGTATTTCAGATTATTTTTATTAGATTTTTGCACCAATGTCAGGAAAGAACAGCAGATAAAAATGTATTCAGAAAGCAGGCCAGACTAGAACATGTTTCAGTAAATAGAACAATTGCAAACAACATTTATAGCCAAGGGAAATGACAAAGTGGTGAACATACTAGATTTCCCACAAAAACAAAATGTGGTGCACTGATGCTGCCAAAGAATAAACATATGGGAAAGAGTGTTTATGTTTATTTCTACAAACTTTGAAGAGTGAATTAGGTCTTCTGCACAAATTCTAAAATGTAGCTTTTCAATGGTGGAAATAACACTTATTTCAGGACAAAATATTTCCCCTAAAATAATCATTTTGGTTTGGGCTGGATGTGAAAAGGAGGCACAAGAACTTTGCTTTGCTGTGTCTGTGAGGTCTTGCCTGATCTTATGCTACTCTCCCATAGATACAATGAGACATCACTCACTGATACAGCATCTATTAGATGCATAATGTATCCATGGCTCCAAACGAGACAAACGTTAGAAGATTCCCCTTCAAATAAGGGATTGTTAAATGCATGCAAAATGTTTTCAATGTGTTCCTTACCTCACAAAAGCAATATGGCACTTATTGGCAAGAATGTAGTGATGAGGAAGACAACATGGGCCAAATTGGGTAGCCAGGGTACAGTTCCTTGCTTCACAGCAATGTCCCATCCTCAGGATGTTTTGGGAGAAACTGATCCAGGACTTGGAAAAGTTACACTATTGTATTCTCAAAGGCTTCCACGGCTGGGATCCAATAGCTGTTGATAGCGAATACCTAGATACCGTCTAGACAAAATAGTTAGCAGCCATACTAGCTTGACGATTGAGAGACTGCCCCAGAAATAATTGCTCCAAACTCTAATCTGTTTATACCACCTCTACATCTTCCTCCAACTCCTATCTGCTGCTTATGCTGGCTACTTACTGTAAGTTAATCTTTCATAGAAAAGATTACATTCCCCAGCAAAGTTTGGAAATAATATGATGATATCAGGCCTCATCCAGAGAAGCAACAATATAATGAAAGGGTTTTTTTTAACTCACAGGAAGCTAAAAGGTAGACCAACAGAACAGTAACTGATTCCATTCTGTTAATAAAATACCACAGAAAAATGTGATGTTAAAAAAGGGGTTAAAGACAGCCAAATAATCATTTATCTGTTAACCTTTGCTATATATAAGGCAAATTTTCTTTCAAATATATTTTATCATTGAGGGACCTTTCACCACTATAGCATTATTACAAATTGTTTCTGACATGTTTTTAAAGGCACTGACACACAATGGCCAAAATCCTGTTGCTTAGCATAGTAGATCACTCTAGAGTAGGCCTACTGAATGAATGGGGATTTAATGACTCAAGTTCTCTGCACATTCCGCTGATGGGCCTATTCTAGCTGTAACTTACTTTAGTGATTCATTACACTAAGCAGTGGAATGTTGGCTGATAATCTGCTGTTTTCTGGGATACATAAATAACCCAGATATAGACACACATGGTGTCACTTCATTTCTGATGTGAATTCCAAACGCATATATTATTCCTGAAGTACAGACAATCCTAGGATAGATACAACAATTACATACTTAGAAAAAAATACAGTGGGATGCAAGAAAGTGAGAATTGAGTAGAAAATAATATAGTTCAAGTCTATTTTATTTAAAAGGCACTTAGAGATAGAAGCACAAGTGAGCAACAGCACATGACATTTCGAAAAGCAAGACGGGTTTGTCTTGAGTTCGGCAATTCTGATGGGGTCATCCTGATGAAAGAGGCAAAAGCCACCATGTTAATGCCAAACAAATACCCTGTTTCCCCTAAAATAAGACCTAACCTGAAAATAAGCCCTAGTATGATTTTTCAGGGTGCTTGTAATATAAATCCTACCCGCAAAATAAGCCCCAGTTAAGTGAAACCCTGCCCTCCACCACTGTGTAACAACCAGAAGAAGAGGACAGGACCGTATTTGAATAAACGTAGATAAAAAAATAAAACAACCCCTGAAAATAAGCTCTAATGCGTTTTTGGATCAAAAATTAATATAAGACCCTGCCTTATTTTCGGGGAAACAGGGTATAATAATGGCATCTATGTGTATTTGTAGATCTCTGTTGCTCCAGTTTGACTAGCAGTGGGTGTGTGCACTGATCTTTCTGCCTATGTGGATAGCTATGTCCCCACCCTGGGTGTGCAAGCCACAGCTGTTATCAACACTGCTCAGCAGACGAGGCAATGTCTGCAAAAGAGCTATTTTACATAAATGTTGGCAGCTAATCGGAGACCAGCTTGGGCCATTTGTAACTTGGTGCCTTTCATTTTTTTTGGTTGGTATGAGAGTGGGGAAAGACAGGTTGTCCCCTCTGTTATCAAGAAATGTAGGTGTAAGAACCAACAGGATTAGAGTTCTCCCACCTGCATTTTGGACAGTAATTCAGCTGTCTCATCTACTAACCATGTAAGGAGGGCTAGGGCATAGAAAGGAGGAGTTGAAAGTAGGACTTGTTGTTTCTTCTAGAAAGGGGAAAACCCTTTCTACCATCTGGTCCCTAGAATTTTGATGAACTGTTACAAATCAGCTCAACTTGAAATCACCCTGAACATCTGGATTACATGGCCTGTGAAACACTGCAGTAGTGTTCGTTGTTTCCTGAAATGGGAACCAACCAGGTGAGGATTTGATGGTGGATGAAGCAGGCAGTGAAGCAGAACAAGGAATGGTAGGATTGGCCCAGGAGTGACCAACTTTTAATAATATCTGTTCTTCATCTCAATGTTTTCAACTTTTAGGACAGAGTTATTTCCCTTTGGAAACCACAGGCATTCTGATGAAGGAGACGGTCTGTTTCTAAATGGAAATTCTCACTTTTTGAATACAAGAGCAAGGTACAAATGTTCGGAAATCACTAAGAAAGTTTCCAGTTAGAATGGGACTTTCACCTCCCTGTTCTGTTGTTGGTTTTATTTTATGATGTCATATCAATTTGTTATGTTGATGTATTATTAATGATGTTTTGTTTTCTATTGTGCACTGCCCAGTGTGGCCCCAGCCAGATGGTGCAGTATAAAAATGTAAAAATTAAATAAATAAATAATAAATAAAATAATGGCCAGAATCCTATTTCTCCTTCTGTAAGTTGCCACACCTAATTGAGACTAACTGATGAGGTGCCAGAGTGTATCTTGGTTGCACAATTAGGCACATGAACAAATATATGACTGAGACAAGCCCTAGCACCTTGTCAATTAATTGTGGCATATCATGAAAACACCAACAAGATTCTAGCCAATAATTCTAAAAATACATCTCCTTCAAATGAAAACTAGCAGACATTTCATATAATCTGAAGCCTTCTAGCGAGTATCTTGTTGAATTTATCATATATGGAATGACAATTGTGCAAGTGTCTTTTGGCCATTTTACAAAGCGTCTATTAGAATCCGATTTGCTTTATTGGTGATATGAGTGGTCTCATGACCAGCTGCAGCTAGGCACACAAAATATAACTTGTGAAATGATGAACACTGCACACATGATTATCATTTTGTGTGCAGTATATCCAAGTGGCCTTAATTTTAATTTTTTAATTTTATGTTTATACTATTGAAAAATTGTGATTGACGACCTCCCCCATTTACACATAGTTGAGCTAATTCTGATCACCTGTCACCTGCAAATTCCAAGCATGATTGATGATATAGAATGCAGAAAATATTGCTTCCTGAATAAAACAGAGGCATTGGTTAGTTACTCACACTCATGTTACTGTTATCTGGGCCTGCTGGAAGCTGCTAGCACCACTTATCTTTTGTGCGAATATGGTATATAGGCCATATGTTTCTGCTCCTGAATGAAGTGTAGAAAAGTTTCATTTTTTTTGGACAACAGCTCCCAGAATCCTTTGAGCCATGGTTGCTACAGTGGGATTCTTGGAGTTGTAGTTCAAAACTGTACAATTTTCAAACTGTGTTCCTGAAGCTGTGCCCAGCCCCTGTGATGCAGATGATATTATGCATCACAACAATATAGCAACAATGTGGATCCTGAAGAAGCAGTGGAAATATTGCTCTGCTTGACCCAGGCCAAGCAGCAGAAACAGACAAAGAGATGTAACAGAACTCTGAGAGACATGGTGTGCGTGCATTCATGTCTGAGGTGGATGAGAGGGAAAAGACTGCATACAACATCTTCCGTCTGTCTGACATGCATACACACCCATTTGGGTGCCCACTGCTTTTCAAGTGAAGCCCCTACTATAGCAGGTTTTCCCTGAGGTTTTTTTAGGCTCTTAACATGTCCTGATGGAATATGTACATGAAAAACTTTAGTTATTAGAAAAACAAGTGCTCTTTTACTGGCATATTCTTTCAAATGGCCTGTTCCCATTCAAAATAAAACATAAAAACAAATGAATCTGAAAGATAGAAAAGCAGAGGTCATTACCTGAGTTCCCACATTAAAATAATAGTTTACCAGACAATGGGATATATATATATATATATAGCGGTTTCAAAGGTGCACCTCCCACTGATGTCAATGGAAAGATCCCATTGATTGTAATGTATTAGGATTGCACCACAAATAGATGCCTCCTGGCTAGCTGGGTTAATTTGTCAGATAATTTTTTTTCCAAGGAACATTTTAGTATAAATAAATAGGAACAATACAAAGCACAGATGCAAACTGTAAACTCACTCCTGAGGTATTTCAAGCATACAGTGTAATTTCTATAGTTTTTACCCACAATGAACCTTGGGCCTTAGTAGCACGACTTGGTAACAATATGGCTAGTTGAAATGCCCTGGCGTAGCCCTAGGTGTAATTCTTTCTGCTGGCCACCAGTTTCCACTGGAGCCATGAGTGAACAAAATAGGCCTCCTTGTTCTAAAAGCATTTCTGTATGTGACAAAGACATCAGCAAATATCTTCCAAGGAGAGAGTAGTTTAGGAACAGAAGCTAACAGCATGTCACTTCATTCCCAATCCAATTAGTGAAGTCTAATTCCCTTTGGACCTTGCAGATGCTGAATAATAATTAGATGGGACATTTTGTTTTTCTAAAGGCGTTTGCTTCTCCACAGATTATCAGCAAAAAAAGAGCAGAATGGGTTTTAGCCTGGGTTATGTCGCACCCAAATGTGTATATACTGCAGCAATATGCATGCAAATACAGATGCCCCCAAAACATACATACAATCATACGGAGTACCGTATATACAGATAACTGTGCAGGTGCACCATACACATCTATGTGTTAAAAGCACACGTAGAAAAACCACATACGTTCTTGAATACATAGGCACAGTTCACCTACACACATGTGCAAAGTTGTATTTCAAATAAATCTTCACTTCAGATGCTGCCCCCTGTCTTGAAAAAAACATTGTTAAGGTTGTCCTACTTGCTTACTTTAGATTTCTTGGTCTTAATTTTTTCTTAAATGCAAGTGATACAATCTCTCAGGCTCACCAAATGTCCTTTTTTCTCTGTCAGTTGGTTAACACCACAAATTAAAATGGATTATAGTTGTTAAGTTGAGCAGGCAGGAACTTCTTGCAGAGTTCTGTCCAGAAGCATTCCAGTCCCTGGGCTGAAAGTAATGTTAGGTGGCAATAATTCTAGAGCATGTCCCTTGTGTTACGGATTGCACAGCAAAGCACCATGCTGAAGACCATGCCAAAGATCTAGAAGATAAGGAACATATGTAAAGAGAAGTTCACAAGGAGCTTGTGCCCCTTTTTCCACTATGTTTATGACTAGCTAATAACCACTCCCATGGTTTGAGAACTGAATACTCTTCCCTCCTATCACTATGGCAGGGACTACACATTTGCAGATAAGGTAAAGGTAAAGGTTCCCCTTGACAATTTTTGTCCAGTCGTGTTCGACTCTAGGGGGCGGTGCTCATCTCCGTTTCCAAGCCACAGAGCCAGCGCTTTGTCCGAAGACAATCTTCCATGGTCACATGGCCAGTGCGACTTAGACAAAGAATGCTGTTACCTTCCCACCGAGGTGGTCCCTATTGATCTAGTTGCATTTGGATGCTTTCCAATCGCTAGGTTGGTGGGAGCTGGGACAAGCGACGGGCGATCACTCCGTCGCGTGGATTTGATCTTACGACTGCTGGTCTTCTGACCCTGCAGCACAGGCTTCTGCAGTTTAGCCCACAGCGCCACCACGTCCCACCACACATTTGCAGATAACGTGCAGTAAACCTTTGACTGTGCATTGTCTACAAACAGGAGAGAAGCCACTCCAAACACATATCTTGTTTTAGTGTGGTGAAAATGGAGCTGCTAACTCCCCCATCCATTGGAACATACTGTAAGCAATACGAAGACATATTCAAAGCAGTAAGATACAACAATCAATTTAAAACCCTAGTCAGATAGCCAGTCACTCAGGGAACACTTCCCTGTAGAGAAAGGTGTTTGCTTGCTTGCGGAAGGACAGCAAAGACGGGCAGCCTGGCCTCCTGTGAGAGGGAGTTCTAGAGACTAGAAGCAGCAACGGGCAGCCTGGCCTCCTGTGAGAGGGAGTTCAAAAGACTAGAAGCAGCAACAGAGAAGGCCCTCTCATGTGTCCCCACTAAGCACATCCATGAAGGTGTTTGGACTGAAAGAAAGGCCTCTCCAGATGATCCCAACAAGCAGACTCACAAAGGGAGATGCAGTCTTTGAGATAGCTAAGACCCAATTCTTAATTCTTAACTAGCATGGTCACTGGAGTTGCAGTCCAAAAGATCTGAAAAGCATCATCTTAGGTATGGTTGTGTGCAATAGTGACACCTAGAGACTCAGAACAGGGATGATGGATTAGACAGCTCCAGAGCTGGAAGAATAATATTTCCAGAGAAGCAAAATCCAAACCAGATACAAGGGTGGGGGGCATCATTTATGTTGTTCACATCTCTTTGCCATATATGAACAGAATGGGTGGCCCAGGGTAGCAACTTTTAGCACAATTCATACTCTGTATCAGAGTCAGGCTGGAGAGAATCAGCAGTGGAAGATGGAAGGTCATATCCCCATTGCTCCTCAATTGTCGTAACCCCCATCCCAACACACACACATCCTGTGTGTGCATGGGAGAATATTTGCCAATTGTTTTGGTTCTTTGTTTGAACTTCATCTGAAGAATTGATGGAAAACTCCAGCCCAATGTTACCGGGATGAATTTTCACATATACCCGCCCCCCCCCCCGGTGGTTTGCAGCCAGGGGTTGAATTCATCTTAAGAAGGATACCTGGCAGACTTCTACCATGAATTATTGGGACTCTTCTGCAATCTCAATGCATGGTCTGGATTTGAACCATGAAAGCTTGCAAAATGTTTTTTTTTAAGTGGTCTAATAAAAGCATAACCTCTCCTGCATTTGTATTGTGTAGGGACCAAATGGCTCTCTTTGTTTTTTTTTCAGTAACTAAATGTTATGTTATAGCTTGGAAAGATGTGGAGTTTCTTGATAAAGGACAAACACAAGGAAATTTCACAACAGGAACACACCACCATTGCCAAAGAATTACTTACTGTGATTCCAGCAATTGCAATCCCAACAATGCCGAGTAAATGAAGCTTTGAGTCAATTAGAATTTCAATTTCATTCAGACAATTCTGTTAAAGAGATAAAGACATTAGATCACTACAAATCTTAAACCAGTTCCTACTAAGAGCCAGATCTTATAATCACCTCTGCCTAAAGCAAGCTTGAGAATAGCCCAGCCCAAGCCTTCTTCCAGCTGCTTACTTCTATCTTTCCCTCTTAACAGTTTCTGCCTCTGGACTTGCTATTCTGGGTTGGAACTGAGTTGCTGCTGAGAATACCAGCTTGAACTACCACCTAGCAACAGCCTTCACCTTTGCCTTACCTGGCTTGGCCTCTGCTCTATCCTTACTGCCACTGCTTTTGCTACAGTTGGAATTTTGACCATAGGGTTGCTAAAACCATGCAAGATCAACCAGTAGAGTGATGCCAACCACCTAGCACACATCACAGGAGTACTTGTTTGTATTCCCACAGTCTCTTAAATTGCCAGCATTCATATAAATTACATGTATCTATGTCCAATCAGAGGGACGTGGTGGCGCTGCGGGTTAAACCACAGAAGCCTCTGTGCTACAAGGTTGGAAGACCAGCTGTCGTAAGATTGAATCCACATGATGGAGTGAGCTCCCGTTGCTTGTCCCAGCTCCTGCCAACCTAGCAGTTCGAAAGCATGTAAATGCGAGTATATAAATAGGTACCACCTCGGTGGGAAGGCAACAGCATTCTGTGTCTAGCCGCGCTGGCCAAGTGACCACGGAAACTGTCTTCGGACAAACGCTAGCTCTACGGCTTGGAGACGGTGATGAGTACTGCCCCCTAGAGTCGGACACGACTGGACTAAATGTCAAGGGGAACCTTTGCCTTATGTCCAATCAGACCTCATCTCACTACCATAGTATGTTCAAGCACTGGATATGGTATATATTTTTTAAAAAGGCTTTATTGAAACTATGTAACGTTTGTATTCGCGAAGGCTTTCATGGCCGGGATCTAATGGTTGTTGTGGGTTTTTCGGGCTCTTTGGCCATGTTCTGAAGGTTGTTCTTCCTAACGTTTCGCCAGTCTCCGTGGCTGGCACCTTCAGAGGACAGCACTCTGTGCTGTGTTGTCCTCTGAGGATGCCAGCCACAGAGACTGGCGAAACGTTAGGAAGAACAACCTTCAGAACACAGCCAAAGAGCCCGAAAAACCCACAACAACCATATATAACCATCATTTAAAATAATACATAATGCTTTATTGTTGTTTCAGGGAAGATCTTATTTTAATTTGTTCTAGAAAAAATGTGAGCAAAGACTACTTTACTGCTACTGCAGCAGCTTTTGCCTCTCCTCATTTTGTGAAGTCTTATAGGACTTCTATACCCGTTGAACACAATAAAAAGGTGAAAATAAAATAGTGCATAGGCTCTAAACAGTTCAGTTTATGTGTCTATCAGAGAATGGTGTGTTGTATCTCCACCAGATATTAAAGCAGAGAGAAGGAAGAGTAAACAAGAACTGAACAAACACACCACAAATTACTCCTGACATTCAGATAACCTCAGTCTACATTACAGCAATAGATGCTATGATCTATGAAATGCCACTGCATTTCACTTGAAACAGAATGAGACTAGAGAGTCACTTTAGATTCAACCTACAATGGAAGTTTGGGTGTTGTCATTGAATGGAATTGTGAGTTCTGTCTAACTGCATTAAGCCTCATCTATCAAGAAGCTTCCAATAGTCATATACCACAAATTGGTGTATAATTTAATTGTTTTCAAATGCAGGATAGACAGCTGGTCAAAACTCTTAAACTGCAAACTCCTGAACTGCATATCAGAAAATAAATATGGTGCCAAATGGCTACTGTCCAGATCTTCTCATCTGGCTTTACACAACCATATTCCTGCTGATTTCTCTAATTTACATGTCCTACCTCATTTCAAGCCCATTTCTGATACAACACTACACTGTCTCTAAGGGATACTTACTTTGGGTAGCTGTATATCTTTTGGGCAGGTGGCTTTCACTGGAGCATCATTTTCTTTCCCACAGCACTGAAGCTGTAAACACAGAGAAAACACTTCTAAATATTCCATAAGTAACCATGTTCAAACTTGTATTAATCTTTTGTCCCCAACTCTTATTCCAACCAGATCATCTGAACCCTATATTGTGAATCATAGATAACATGTACTTTCACTGATAGCCTCAAAATTTTACCCATTTTCACATTGTAAATGTTTCTTAGCAGAATTCTAAAAAGCAGCTGGGTTCCACACATAAAGATTAGCTATGTTCTGGTTTGTTGTGTCTAAATCTTTCCCTATAAACCAATCATGGTTTGTTTACAAGGTGCAAAGCACGCTTTTACAAACTGTTGTTATGTTTGAACCCAGAACCATGGCTTTAATTGCTTTGTTTCCATAGCTACACACCTTGAAAGAGGAACTAATTAGATCACTGGGGAAAAAACGTAACAGCTTCTGGACGTAATACAGCAATAGACAACCTCCAGAGGTCGCAGGGTTCCACACACACACTTCTGATGTTGGAAGGTGGCAACCACTCCAATATCCAGCTCAGTGATATCCTTCTATAAAAATGACTTTTCTTAAACTGAAAAGACCACTATGGAGATTTTTAAAAAATTACAATGAAGGGATGAGGCAGGTTGTTGGAAGCCCCCAAATATGTTAAAATTGCCCACCACACTCCCTAAAGAGTACAAAGGGTCTATTGGGCAAACTTTTTTTTTAAAAAAATATGTATTTTAAAGCTTTTGCTGCTGCAAAGTCAACTCAGAAAATCAACCCTGAGTGCTCACTGGAAGGACAGATCCTGAAGCTGAGGCTCCAATACTTTGGCCATCTCATGAGAAGAGAAGACTCCCTGGAAAAGACCCTGATGTTGGGAAAGTGTGAAGACAAGAGGAAAAGGGGACAACAGAGGACGAGATGGATAGATAGTGTCATTGAAGCTACCAACATGAATTTGACCAACCTCCGGGAGGCAGTGGGAGACAGGAGGGCCTGGCGTGCTCTGGTCCATGGGGTCACGAAGAGTCAGACACAACGTAACGACTCAACAACTCATAAGTTCTAGGAAGGTGCTGCAGGCCTTCAGTGGGACATGCAACCTGCATGCTGCATGTTTCTCTCCACAATTTAATGTTAAATGGTGCAGCTACCATCTGGACACAACCTCATACTGACATAGATTATAGTGGGGTCTTGAGAACTTAATCCGTATTGGAAGGCGGTTCTCAAGTCAAAAAGTCTGTAAGTCAAGTCTCCATTGACCTACAGTGCATTGAAAACCGATTAATCCCGTAACAGGCCGTTTTTGTTCCATTTTGGTTTTTTTCTGGTCTGTAAGTCAATTCTCAGTCTGCAAGTCAAACCTAAATTTTGCGGCCAGAGAAGCTGTAACTCAAAAAGTCTGTAAGTCAAGCCGTCTGTAAGTCAAGGGTCCACTGTATAGATTTTAAGATATCTGAAAGCAGAATGATATAGGCATAGTGTCCTGCAATGTATACATGTGGTTGTAGGCTGTTGTTTTTTCCCTGCACCACTAGCCCTATTCAGTGATTAAATATGTATGCAGAATTGACAAGTAAACAAAACACAATAGCCCCATCAGGAGTGGGAACATATCAACCCTGTCTCTTCCATCATTATCTTTGTTGTTGTGCTATAGGTAGAACACTAGTTTCTGAAACAGAGTCTCTACTACACATGGGGGCTTTCCAAATGAGTCCTAATTTAACATGGACGGCTCCTGTAGGTGGCAAAGTCTCCCAATATTCACAGCTCTCCACATACGCAGGAGATCTTGTCTGATAATGATAGTGTTTAAATGTCACAGTAAGTAGGACTTCATGAGAAGTCTGGTTTATTATGAATAAGTCTGCATCTTGGTATATGTTGCTTGGTCTCTCCCACTACAAGCACAGGTGTCTTAACGAACCACAGACCTTTTACCACTGGCTTGTTTATCATGACATCTGAGCTTTGTGGTCTGGCATATCTCTCTACTGACAACAGAAAGAAATATGGTTTCTTTTTCTGGGGAAAAGCAAGTCAGATTATAACATGAGCCAGACAGATGACAGCTAGACAGACACAGATGTATATGTATACTGTATATAGATATAGATAGCCATTTACAAACATAGATAGAAAGTCTCCAGTTGGTTTATCTGGTCCTACTTACAGTAAATTCACTATCAACAATTAAATGTCTCTCATTTCATCCTTTAAAATACTTAAAAACCACAAATGACAGTATCTCAACAGTCTAAATTAACAAAACAGGAAGTTTTAAATTGCTGCTATTAAATATTTTTTCATTTATGGCATAGATTTATTTTAAAAAAATCACTTGCAAAATAGCATTAGTACTCCATTCACCTGAATTCCCAATGGTATGGTTCCTTGCTTCCTACACTATTTGCAGTTCTCTACCTACAGTCTCATTGGCTTCAGAAGCTCTGGAAATATGGCAATAATCATTCCTAATGTTGCCTAAAAGGGCTAGTATTAATATTTAAAACAACAGAAACCTCTAATCAATGGTAGGTGTTCTTTTCTTTTGTTTTCTTTTCTTGCCATCCCTACATGGCACAAATGTAGGTTTTCAGGGCTTCAGGGAAGAAGTGGTTTTACATGGGAGCAGGACTGTGTTCCTCTTCGGACCTGGAGCTGCAACCAGGAGAGATGCAACCATGGCTGGAGTGGGATTAGGCACTCCCTTTTAAGTAGGCTCAGTACTGTCTTGAAAAAAACCCAAAGAGAGCTTTGGATGCTAACGAGTAACTCAGATTCAGATACCCCAAAATCTAAAACTACTGGAAAAAAGTTCTGCTTCCTTAAAAGAACTGCTGAGTCTGGTTAATGACACTGGAGTGCATTTTGTTTGGTTCAATTTTGACTTAGTCAATTAAACTGAATTAACTCCAGTTTAACCAAGCATATTAAAGCAATTACCAAAGTCTGGGTTCATATACCATTCCAATTTGAATGCAAATGAGAATTCTAGCTTTGTTGCATCTTTTTGTTCATCCCTCACTTTTGCCCTATAGAAATACAAACCTAAGAAGTATAAATACATCGGCACATATGTAGTGAGAGTTTCTTTGAGGCTCAGTGTCCCTTTGTTAGTAAAATAATTCAGTAAAGCTGAATTACTGACACAGGAAATCCAAGCACCTGACTTCCTAGTAGAGGCCAACTGAGAAAGCAAATGGTTTGCCATGGTTGCATGGAAGATAATATGTAATTAAAATCAGATATTCATACCAGAGACTTCTACTCATGTCAGCCTCAACATGGTTTAGATAAGAGGTGGGGAAAGTATGGCCTCTCAGTGTTTTTACTGCAACTCTTTAACCCCTAATTGTCATGGCCAATGGTGTGGATTTATGGAAATTGTAGTCCAACAACATCCAAAAGATCACACATTCTCCATCTCTGCTGCAAAAGTTAGATGGCTGGATTAAGGCCAGGGAGACTTAGATTAAAAGTTCTGCTCACCTATGAAACTCATTGTGTGACCTTGGACCAGTCCCTCGACCTAAGTGGCAGGATTATGATAAAAATGGGGTGGGGGAGAATAAGAGGACTATGTACAGCCTTCTGAACTCCTTAATAAGGAGGCAGGATAACAATATAATGAATACAAACAGAAGCTGATCTCTAAAGGAGCTTAAGCCAGATACCCACATAGAATCTCACTCATTTCCAGGAAAAGGGGGAAACCAGGTATTTTTAGACAGGTACATCTCTTGGTGCCTTCTAGATATGTTTACTTGCAACCCTCAGTATCCCAAAATAGCATGCCGTTGGGAAAGATAATAATTATAGTCCACCATACACAGAGAGTGTAGGGTTGGGCTAACCTAAAGAGTACCATCAGGCCAATGTTAAAGGTCAGGTGTGAGAATACCCGTAAACAACACTGGCTGAAATTCTACTGGGCAACTCTGCATGCACAATGGAAATGATGTCATTATCAGGGGCAAATCAGTACTGGTCAAAGATGACTGTGGGGCGCATGGAACTTGTACATAATGTAACAAGGCTGTGTATACCCAAACTTGCCAAAGGAGGCCTTTAGTCTACAGCAGTTTGCTACTGCTGCTGAGAGCATCACCACTGAACAAATAGAGCTGCAAACTAGGATTTCAGCCACAGAATTCTAGAACTGCCTGTCTCTTAATCTGCCAGTGTTTATATTGGGGCCTTACTAAACACGTTGTGCATTATGGTCTTAAACATAGATGAAAAAGAACCTTCCTTTAAAAAAATGTCACAAAGGCAACTGTGATAAGCCAAACAAATGTACATTCACAAGTTACTCACTGCATCGTGAAACTGGATGAGAGTCTTATTTTTCCCTGTGTCACTGATGTAGTCCGTATATGCTTCTTCGTAAATGGCCTGGACCTCCTCAATAGCCTACAGAAAACCATTAAAGAAACTTTAACGAGAGAATGAATAAGAGGAGAAGAAGTCCAGTTGTAGCTTCTTGGCTTTCCTCTAACTCTTGTGGTTCCCCTTTGCTTGAGACTATGCAGCAGATTGGGAGAAGGGAGAGCAGGGGAACAGAGAAGGCTGTAGTTAAGTGGATGGGAGGAAAACAGCAGCTGATGATAGAAACACAGGTTTAAAAGGATGGTATCCCCTGAAAGAGGCTGAGCATGAGTGAGTGTGGCACTCGCACACCTTTTTCCGTCTATGTGTGCTGCAGCAAAATGACAACGACCCCCGACAATAAGTGTGGCTTTGCCATGTGAACCTGCGAATAGGAATTTCTTCTCCTGGATCATGCCTATCACCAGACTAGCCAACAGCCACTGTTCGTTTTTTCACTGCTGTTCACACAGCTAACAACTGACTTTGCATCACCATTTTTAAAGAGGTTACAATGCTTCTAGTGAAACATACAGCTTTAATTAGTTCGATGCTATTATGTAAAGAACACGTCAGTGGTACATGGATATAATGTCTTGTGACTGCTATCATCAAAAACATAAACAGAGTTTGTAAAACAAAAAGAAACTTATTTTTTAAAATACAGAAGAATAAAAAGGTTCAACATTACAGGCTTTAAGGTTCTTTATCATACAGGCAGAAGCCCCTTATAAGCATACACACAAACACACATACACACACACACACACACACACACACACACATATATACACACATACACAGAGACATACACACACACAGACACAAACACACACACACACAACACACACACATGCTTATATATGCTTATATATATACACAGTGGTGTCCCGTTTAACGATTACCCCGCTCCATGATGAATCCGCTTCACGATGATGTTTTTGCGATCACAATACGATGTTTTAATAGGGAAAAATCTCTTGACGATGATCTGTTCCCTGCTTCAGGAACTGATTTTTCGCTTTACGATGATCTAAAAATAACTGATTGTCGGGTTTCAAAATGGCCACCCACTGTGCAAAATGGCTCCCCGCTGTTTTCAGGACTGCTTTTTCGCTTTACAGGTACCAGAAAATGGCCGCCCTATGGAGGATCTTCGCTGGACAATCAGGTATTTCACCCATTAGAACGCATTAACCGGTTTCTAATGCATTCTAATGAGCTTTTTACTTTCGCTTGACGACGATTTCATTCTACAGCAATTTTGCTGGAACGGATTATCGTTGTCAAGCAGGGCACCACTGTATATATACTCTAATATGTGTGTGTTTACACAAACACATATAAACATAGACACAGAGAGAGAGAGAGAGAGAGAGAGGAAGAGGAGGAGTAGGAAGAGGAGAAGGAGAAGGAGAAGGAGAAGAAGAAGACAGCTAGATATGGGTGCTTGTTTTGAAATAAGTTCCAATGAGAACACATTAGTTTTCCCCAGCTTCTTCTGGAAACAGATTAGCTTTAACTAACACCACTGCCAGCCTGACTTATTTCACATTTCAGTTGTGAGAATGAAGTCAAGAGGATGGAAGCAACCAACCTGAGCTCATTGGAAGAAAGGCAGGAATACAGGTAAATAATAATATATAAATATGACATCTAAGGTATTTTATTTATTTTTAATATCCATATAAACCACACTTCTGTGCAAAGTTCAAATGAAGTTTTCACTCACTGCTTTCTTGCCAAGAAAAGCAAAAACTCCTGCAGCGACTTCAGCAGCAAAAATCACCAGCAAACAAGTAAAGAACTAGAAAAGGAAGAAGAGAGGATTAAAGGTTCAGTTTGTATCATGAAATATATTAATGCTGTTCAAAATTAGAATATGTCTTGCAGAAGATACTAAGTTAAAGGGAATGGCAGCACAGAGCGTGCCTGTTGCACATCACTGTACTATGGTCCTTTACAGTTCATAATTGTCCTATATGAGGTTGCAAAAGAATGAAGTCTTGCCATGTTCCGGGGAATCACTCATTAGTAAGCATGTGTGGTGGGGGCAGCCCAAACTCTCTGCCTGAGAGGGAAGGAGTACCATCCATATAGTGCTGCATCTGCTGCCCCACCTCACTTGGATGTGCGGTCACGCTGGAGACAGTGTTCCACCCTAAGAGGACGGAACAGCTGTTGAAACACCTCTGTGATATATTTGGCAGGTATGCAGGTAGAGAAGACAGATGGTAAAAAATGCACTGCACTGCCATTATCCTGCACATTGCCAGAGAAGGGAATGCATGCTAATCATGGCCTTCCAGAATTCACCTTTGAACAGTGATGGCTGCTTCCTGAGTGCTTTGCTCTGAGGCATTCTTGAAGCTATGGCACTACAAGAGAGACAAAGCCGCTGTGGTGTAGAGATTGAATGGATACTTTGAAGATCTAGGTCTGTGGTTCCCAGCCTTTAATCCTCAAATGTTCCTGGACTAGCAAAATGTACTGCAGCTCCCAGAAATCATGCCCAGCAGGATTTATTTTATTTTATTTTATTACATTGATTGATTGATTGATTGATTGATTGATTGATTGATTGATTGATTGATTGCCTCCTAGCTGCTGTAGTGCACCAAAACTTTAAAAAGTAAATAAACAATTTGGAAATGTTGAGGGCTTCTGGAAGGGCTGGTCCAAGAACATCAGGGGACCCAAGGTTGGGAACTACTTATCTAGGTTAATGTCCTATGTGAGGTATAAAATTCACTGGTGACTTTGTCTAGGGATGTAATAAGTACTTGCCCCTCCCCAATCCTGGAGATTTTTGACATTTGCCTTGTTGACTCCCATGGAAACTGAGGCATCTCCTGGAACAGCAGCAAGGAGAAATACTTAGCACTGTTACCACCCACCCATCCCTTTCCTATTGATTTTCTGATTATAATTTTACAAGATTATAATTAAGATTAAGATGCTTGTGCCTAAAGTACTGCATGATTTTCCTGTCTTTGTGCTGCTTTATCAATTTCAACTCTTCCATCAGTCAGTTTCAAATAGTTACATCAGGCAGCTCTGCAGAATATGTTACTCTTGCCAATTTCAAGTCCTTTAACAGGTCAATTTCACAAGGTTGCGTTAGCAGGCAAATACATTGACAAACAATGCAGGAAATGTTCCAGGACTGTCATGGCCAGATTCACATTATTTTCCTTTGCCCATATGAGGTTCAAATGAATGCATATCAGCCCAGAGATTTTACCCCATCTGTACTTTCCCCCTCCACTGCCGGGGCTTCTATTTTTTCTGAAATTGAACACACCCATATCAGTTCATGCTATGTTATCACCTGAACCAACTCAATAGGCAATGAAAAGCTTGTTCTCCCCTGTTCCCAGTTTAAGGTAGGGAGAGATGAGGCAAGGGAGCACTTATGAGGCTGTCACTTCGCCTCATCCAAGCATCCTTTTCTTTCCATTTTTTAAAATTTACCTTTTTAAGACTTGGTGCCAGCATTGATGTGCTACAGCAGCTAGGAGGCCAAAACAAAACAAAAAGCAAGGAGGAAATTGCCAACCAGCCCTTGTTTGTAGCCTGTTCACATAGTTCTGCTGTCAACATGCCTCCTGCAAATATGGACAGCTGCAGTGGAGCAATTTCCTTAACTCTCTCAGTTGACTCCTATGTGATCTGCTAAAGTGAATTTACATGTGGAAAACTGACTTCCCAAGTATGACTTCGCATCACTTCACTTTTTTACTGCTATGTAGTTCCCTTAGTCAGTGTAAGAGCTTGAAACCGAAAAGAGACATTTATAAGGAATCCTGTGAGGAATGGCTTCAATTCCTGCCCCTATCTTACATACAAGATTTTGTAAGAAAAACTGAGGACATTTTGATGGCTGGGAAATCCTGAGGGAGGGAAGAAAAAAGGAAGAAAATTCCTTAGAAAGGTGTGAGACTGAAAAACATCTAGAGCAAGGGAGCTGCGAATTTGCCATTTCTGGTCTACCTCACCTTGCCACATGGTAGGGCTTGTCCCATCACCTAATGTCCTGCTAGTTATGCTATAATCTTATACCCAGTTACTTGGGAAGAAGCTCACCAAACACAGTAGGACTTACTTAGATCTATAGGACTTAGAATCATAGAATTATAGAATCATGAAGTTGGAAGGGTCTTATGAGGCCATTGAGTCCAACTCCCTGATCAATGCAGGGATACAAATCACTGGATGTCTGCCAGGTGGCTGTCTAAATTTCTCTTGAACTCCTCCAGTGTTGGAGCACTCACCACCTCTCGAGGTAACTGGTTCCATTGCCATACAGTTAGGAACTGCTCTAACAGTTAGGAAGTTTTTCCTGATATTCAACTGAAATCTGGCTTTCTGTAACTTGAGCCCATTGTTGAATGTCCTGCACACTAAGATGACTGAGAAGAGATCCTGTCCCTACTCTGTATGACAGCCTTTCAAATATTTGAAAAATGCTATCATATCTCCCCTCATTCCTCTTTTCTTAAGGCTAAACATGCCCAGTTCTTCCAGTTTTTCCTCATAGGTCTTGGTTTCAGCTTCCTAGTTATCCTTGTTGTCCTCCTCTGAACTTGTTCCAATTTGTCAGCATCCTTCTTGAAGTGCGGTGTCCAAAACTGGACATTGTACTCAAGCTGAGGCCTAATCTTTGCCGAATAGAGGGAAACAAGCTGCTTGCAGGATTTGGAGACTACACTTCTGTTAATGCATCCTAAAATAGCATCTGCCTTTTTTGTAGCCACATCAGTGTTGGCTCATATTCAGCTTGCGATCTTCCAAGATCCTTCTTGCTCTTAGTCAATCTTCCTGCAGAAATCATCTGAGTCAATAAAGGGATTGCCAAGTTACTGAATGCACATCAAAAGTTCACGTGATAACCTTCTTCTTCCAAAATTTAGCAAAGTGCAACTGTGTGGTTTGGACACAGCATCCCATCATTAATTAATGCAGGGGACAAGGCTCAAACACTCCCCCTCTCCTCCTGCTGTTTCTCTTTTTGTGCTTCAGCCTGATCCACCTAAACACGAGTTGCCCATTATATATAAAACTAAGAATTCGAGGTCTATGTGGATTTGTCAACAAGAACTAAACTTGTTTCAACCTTGGTTTAAGATCCTAATTAATAAACTAGTATTAAAACACAGTTTCTTGTTTGGATATGATGGGGAAGTTTAATTTTAAAAAGACACAACTGAAATGCTAAAGCTAACGTACAAAGAAAAGGAAGAAGCGCTTGTTCCCAGACAAACAAATGATGGCTTATTAAGCTGATATTATGTCCCCCAAACACCTTTATATCCCACTAACTATATATTATTTACTTACTGCTCCAAGCAGACATTGAGATTCCCGTGCAGCTCCACAGCATCCAAAAAATCCCACTGCCATCATCAGGACACCAGCTCCTATCAGTACATACAGTCCTATAGAGGAAACAGAATCCAGAATAGTCATTCCTGATCTATGAGCTGGGATGATTCTCAGCTGTCCTCTCCAATCACCTTTTGCAACCTGGAACGCCAACAACATAGTCAGTAACTGGCACCCAGGTTCTCACAAAAGAAAGACTATTAGAAATTAAGACTTTTCTCTTGTAACTGCAATCTTTAAACATGTCCAGAACACTTATTTGCATAACTTCTAGCAGCTTGAGGCAGTTGTCAATGAACTAAGTAGAATGGTAATTTTTCAAACATTATGTAACATTGGTACAGCTTCTTTATAAATAATTCTAAATCCTGTTTGTAGTGTTGTTATCACACTAGTTAGTCCTGACACTCTCCCTCTCCTAAAATGTCCACAGAAAAGATGGAGCAGCTGCCAGAGGCAATATTTGGTGAAACAAGAGAAGACAAATGTTTTAACAGATGGTAGGAACAGGTTAACTGTGAAGCTCCCTGTTCATTGCAACAAAATTTTGCAGTGCAGAATGTTCCAATTCAGTTTTGCAGCCAGCCATGCCTTCTCTCAGTATCCTCCATTTCATTTCCCCCTCTTCAGGTGTTCCCTTTGGTTTCTTATATCTACTATGCAGGAAAGTTTAAATTTGCTAAAGTTTAAGGATTCTGTAGAAGATTCTATAGGTAGTCAGTGTGGTATCATGGTTAGAGTATCAAACTAGCCCTGAGGAGACCAGGGTTCAAGCATTCGCTTAGCTATGGAAATTCACAGCAGGGAGCTGCCAAACTGTGCCTGGAACATCTCAGATGCCTTAACAATGCTATTAGGGTCAGCATCAGACAGACAAGACTTGACAATAAATAACAGCTATGGAAGGTAACAGTTAAGCTGCTCTACAACTGTAGCAGCAATTGCAAATACTGCATAACATCTAACCAGGTCCTGTATATATAAAGAAGGACTACAGTGCTATGGATCAGGCAGCAGGAATCCTGCAGCTTTACAATGACATAGATGTTTTGTATCAAACTAGCCCTGAGGAGACCAGGGTTCAAGCATTCGCTTAGCTATGGAAATTCACAGCAGGGAGCTGCCAAACTGTGCCTGGAACATCTCAGATGCCTTAACAATGCTATTAGGGTCAGCATCAGACAGACAAGACTTGACAATAAATAACAGCTATGGAAGGTAACAGTTAAGCTGCTCTACAACTGTAGCAGCACATTGCAAATATACCATCTAACCAGGCCCTGTATATATAAAGAAGGACTACAGTGCTATGGATCAGGCAGCAGGAATCCTGCAGCTTTACAATGACATAGATGTTTTGGCTGTTATTGGCAGGAGTGGGGTGTGGAAAACTTTGGAAAAGGACACTGTGACCCATCACATACTGTCATGCACCCAAATGAAGGCCTCTTGAGAACAAGCACTCACATTACCAGTATGTTGGTTCCAGTCCTGGGAATTTACTACCAGAGAGAGAGGCAGTCAGCTCTGGAGACATTGCCCACCCTCCGTGCCTAAGCTATGGCTCAAATGAAGTACAAGATGGATTGTCTTGCATCATACCAGTCATGGTATGGCTGGTATGATGGTATAATTCTACAGCAGTTGACACTGATCCTCTGAACCACTATTGTACGGTAATTCCACTCGGTGCTTGGAAGTATTGAGTTATAAATAACAGGTTATTTATAACTACAGTGGTGCCTTGCTTTATGATTGCCCCGTTTAACGATGAAACCGCATTATGATGAACTTTTTGCGATCGCTTTTGCAATCGCAAAACGATGTTTCCTATGGGGGAATTTCACTTTGCGATGATCGGTTCCCTGCTTCGGGAACCGATTCTTCGCAAAATGACGATTTTCCAACAGCTGATCAATGGTTTCAAAATGGCCACCGGGTAAACGAAATGGCCCCCGCTGTTGTCTGGGACGGATTCCTAACTGCACAGGCAGCGAAAATGGCTGCCCTATGGAGGATCTTTGCTGGACGGTGAGTTTACAGCCCTTTTGAATGCATTAAACAGGTTTTAATGCGTTTCAATGGGTTTTTTCTTTTCGCATTACGACATTTTCATTGTACAACGATTTCACTGGAACGAATTAACGTCGTAATGCGAGACACCACTGTAGTTCCTTCCCCAGTAAGAAAGCTAGAAGTACATTCCATCATAATAGTGACTTAATAAGGAATAATTTCATTCCTTTGTGACGTGACTCTAATTTTAAAG